GGATCTGAAATTCGAAAAATCGAACGTTCATGAAGTTCGATAAATTCGAAGATTTCGATATATTTTTCTACATAAAGGTCGAAGGTTTCGATTCTCTTTTAGCGCTAAATTCGAAAATGAAACTTAGGTTTCGAATTTCTTTAAAGTCCAAGTGCGCAAAGTACGAAGTCCGGTTTTCGTGTTCTGCCACAGTTTCAGTTTCGAATAACGTTTTCATGCCTCGCTGGTTTTCACGAAATCAGGTTTAGAAATGTTCGGGTGTGATATTTAGATTGTGCGAAGTTGGTCAGGCAATTAAATGAGACTACGAGTGTCCCGGATGTGCTGGATTATCTGCCAGTGCAGAGTGACGTGTGCAGATCAGTAATTGTGGCCGCCAGCCCCGGGGGGGGGGGGGGGGGGGGGGGGTCTTTAACGTGCATCACGCAGTAGTGATCACACGAACGCACTGTTTAATGATACTCATCCAGTTCGAAACGGCCAGGGGCAGGCAGATGGTTGAGGGTCACTTGAGGCTCAGAAAAACCTTGAAGCGATCTGGCTAACTACCTTCCCGCCTCCTTGCACGCTGGTAGTAATCCGCTCGAACGCCGCCCGAGTGACTCTGGCATATAGTAAGTTTAGTTTGTACATGATGCAAATTCCACCCTTATAATGGGAATGAAATTTGAAAGAAAAGGTGTAAGAAGACAGGAAAAAAGGGACAGGACAACGTTTCAAACTCAGCTTAGCACAACGTCTCAAACTCAACTCAGCTAAAATTTTCAGCTCAGGAATAACGTCTCAAACTCAACTCAACTGAGTTTCAGACTGTGTACTGTCCCCTTTTTTCTTTCATCCTACACTATTTCTTTCGAATTTCATTCCCAGTCTCGGGATATTGCATCATGATCAACATACACCAGCTCGCCTGCACCTTAACAATTTTTTAGTTTGTAATTGTGTTGGAGGTTTATTTTCGGAGACGGAAGAAACGCCGAGCAAAAAGCACAGAAGCCGACACAACTTGAGGTCGAGGAGCGTTCTACCATACCAGCAGCGTCGGAAAAGGAAAAACGGGGGGGAAGGGGGGAGGGGGGCGGAGGAACTCCAGTTCCCCCACCCCCCCCCCCCCCCCCCTTCCAGATATTTCGGACTGTTAAAGAAAACAATACGGGGAAAGAGGGAATGGTCGAGCTTATTTTTATCTGAAATTATTTATGCATATGTATAGCTACTGTCGCTCTTCACTGCATAAAAGATCGCGTAGATGGTCATTGTTAGAAACTCGTCAGAAGGCACTACTCGTCACATGCTTAGCGGTTCGGAAGTTCAAAGCTATGTCTTTTCGACCTAAATACCTGTGCCATTGGTAAAAAATAATAAATAAATAAACATAACAAAAATTACAAAAAAAAACAATCAAGAGTCCGCCGGAAGTGTGGTATTCTTGCATATTCAGAGGCCCAGAACTTCGAAAAAAAGTTTCTCCTACCGAAATGTGTACAGGCTAAAAGAAACAGGTCCCAAAAACGTAAAAAAAAAAGAGAAATTTTTTTTTTTTATTACGTGCCGATTTTGAACAATATTAGCAATCTTTTTCCCTGAGTTAATTTATTCCTCAACGTGAAAATAACTATATGTACATTAATTTGTATTCTGCAGATAGTAATGATATGTACTGTCTGTGGTTTGAACTTAAATGCGATACCTCAAACAATTTCGACGAAAACATTTACCGAGTTTAGGGCATAATTGCCCGTAGTTACATGTCTGGATATTTCTTCGAACTCGTCTTGAACAACAATAATCATATCTTAAGACTACACTTACCTATGTTATACATTGATCATACTTAAAAGCAGCGGCGTAGAGTTTCCATTTTCCCGGGGGGGGGGGGGGGGGGGGGCAGACCCGGAATGTGGCTCAAAAAAAAAAAAGGGGGGGGGGGGAGGCTGCGGGGGGGGGGGGGGGGGGAGAGGAGGAGAAGGTCCTTGTTTTATTTGTTCCGTGGATTCTCCCCATAAGGGTCACCTGCAGCAGTCGGAGCCTTGACCGACCGCCCCCCCCCCCCCCCCCACACACACACACACGCCGCACAGACGCACACAAACAACGAACCTTTGATCCCTAGCAGACACAAGTTGCCGTCGGCAGGGCTTGTCTACGCGCACTCTCCGCCTGGAGGCACGCTCCCCACGCGGCGACCTTGCTGTCCGGGATGCTCGTTCCTTTCGGTGCGCCGCCTCGTGTAATCACTTTTTGACGAGCTAGACTTCGCTTTTCAACGCAGGGACCCATCGGAGAGCCATTCGTCTTAATTTTTACACAGGATACCGGACGAACTGTCACGTTCTTGGCCGAGTCGGAACTGGGCGAGTCGACTTCCTATGAGAACGGCTTACGTTTCAAGAATGTCAATGGCTTCTGAGTTTAGGTTTCCATTTGCGGTGTTCGTGTCGGCTCACGATTTAAGTTTCAATTGAACTTCGCTTGGCCCCGCTCGTTATTCCGGGACTCCAATCACGATCCTTCAGTTGCTTCCGTCTCTTTGTCAAATAAGCCTCAACCCAGGGAGTTAATATAAAATAGTTTCCACAGGTAATAAGCTCCGGTGACCTTGCCTCAAAGGAAGTGATCAAGCACTTGCTATTCTACTGACTGTTTGCGGCGTATATGTATGAATGCCTTCCCTGGGAATGTTCGTGAAGCCTATTCAGAATAAAACGGAAAAGGGGAGCGGATTGTGCCGCCTAGCGCCGCACTGTCCATACAAACGTTTTAAAAATGACAAAAGGAACACGTATCGGGCATGATGATTATTCTTTCCCCAAAGTTGGCCTTCGTAGAGACTCCGAAGGCCCAATCGCTCTCTTCCCCACAGGCTTTTGTTTCAAAGCAGCGTCCCTTTGTTTTTGTTGTGTTTTGCGATGCTGTTATTTGGCTTCTGGTGTGTATTTTATTGTCATGTTTTGTTTATTTTGTTAACACATGCAGCAGGGGAGAGTGGGGTAATGGTGGCACAAGGAGCTTTAATTATACGACTGACTTCAATTTTAAGAGGGCCAAAAATAATTCTCAGACGGTAGCAAAGACCATTTGATACCACTATACCTTGTGCGAAGCTGGGGTTACAAATTTTTCCGCCAAAAGTTGTTTTCTGGACGAGTATTCGAGTCGCTGTTCGGTGACAAGACTGGTAGTAAAGCCCTTCACTGACCAATCAAAAATGTGTACAATATTTTCTTGGCCGAAAGGGCATTCATTTGTAGACGCGCAAGAAATTAAAATTTTTTTCTTGGCGAGCAGATCTGCAGAATCAGTCACTGACTCACTGTGTCGGGGATGCTTCCTATTCTCAGAAGCATTTTTGTTGTCTAAAAACCGACAGAGATGTCGCGACGCTTTCAAGACTTTTTTTAGCCTGTCATAGCTGAAGCGGGCACTTCAGCTGTTCATTCAGACAACATATTCCGCGCATCTAACTCCGTCTGAGGGGAATTTTCCACTGAATGTCTGACCTGTCACTGTCCCGAGATCCACCATTTAAAAGCCTGAAAGGAAATAAGAAGCGGGAATAAACAGGCCCCTGTGAAATAGCTGCCAGTCAGGACGGCCAACAATCCACTGTCGATGGGCGCAGACCCAAGCCAAGCTCTTTAAAAAAAATCCCGGGCCGGGGCCGGGGGGGGCTCTGCCCCCCCGTGAAGCCGTCCGGGGGGGGCACGAGCCCCACTGCCCCCCCGTAGTTGGCGCTTATGCTTAAAAGTTTAACATCTCCACCATAAATATCTTCGCTATAGCGCGCTTCAAATATGGCACAAACGACACTTGTCAAAAACCCGTCGTCCTTCCTCGCTCCTTCGGGAATCTATTTCTTGAAATCCAAGCATGCCAGATGATTGAAATAAACGGCATTGTCTATCGCAAAGAATGCGGCACCACATGTAAAAATGCGAGAAAAAAAAATTACGAACGTACGTCACTGCTTAAATCCAAATGAAACCGCCCGCCCGTCTTTCGAAGTTCGACGAACTTCGAACTTTTACTCTAAAAATTCGAAGGTCATCGAACTTTTGACTTTTCAGAAACAAAGTTCAACCATTTTCGATTTTTTTTAGATTAATAAGTTCGAAAATGATCGAATTTATAAGCGTAGGAAGTTCGAAAAGCTTCGATCTCTTCAGTGCAAGTAAATCGAAAGTTCGAAAACCATCGAATTTTTTTGTCTATAAAGTTCAAACGTTTGAGAAGCATCGCATTTTGCAGCGTAATAAGTTTGAAATTTCGAAAAGCGTCGAACTTCTTAGTTTTACAAGGTCGAAAGTTCGACTTCCGTCGAATTTCTCGCTATTGAAAGTTCGAAAATTTGAAATATTTCGAACCGCTTGAATCGATCATCGAAACTTCGATGCGAAATAAGTTCGCGGCATCATTAGGTGAAATGGAAAGTGGTTCATAAAACATATGCGTGCGCAGCAAAAACGAGGACGAAGGGAGGTCAGGAGCAGGACACAAATGACCAACTATAAAAAAAGAAAAAAAAAAAGGAAAAAAAACTTTTAAAAATTGCCCTAACAGCTACTTTTCTAGAAAGAGGTGGGTTTCCCCTGAATTATGGTATGGGGCGTTTCTCACCAACCGAAGAATTCGCCAGCCCCAACGTTGTTGACTAGGCCGTCTGCGGCAACAGACGGTCCGTCGTACAAATTGCCACGATTGCACAGAAACGGAGCTATGAGCATTAAAATTGCACGTGGTAAAGTCAACCAGTAAAATACACTGCAATGTTTTGCAGTGTGCGTGTGCACCGTGCACACGATCACATTATCATTTAAGCTGAGACTGCAGCCAATGCTACAAGCGCGAGAGCACGAGGTCGAGCTAGGCTTTGAAACGTTCTTCCGCAGAACGAGCACCGTAGGCGGGAGGCACTCCTCAACGCCACAAGCTCGCGCTTGTAGCTCTGGCTGTAGAGGAATGCAACTCCCCAGATAACAATTCAGAAAAAGAAATCTTACGTTCCCGCGTAGAGATGGGGTCACTTCGTTGGTCCTGCGAGCCGCACGCTTCACTCGTAGCCGCAATGGCCGCAATTCCGAAACTATGCAGACTGGCGGTCCTGCCAGTCCTGCTGTACTCGTTGAGACATTTCACTGTCTGTCAGCCACGTGCTTCAAATTGTGCTGGTTATATCTAGACACACGTCCTCTCTTCTTGCTGGCGGTGGGTGACCACTCCGTGACTCTGTCCTCCAGAAATGCGTGTAGACGGAAACCAGCACGTGATATCGGTGATATAAAGAGGCACAAGCGGCACAAGCGGCGCAAGCAGCGCAAGCAGCGCGAGCAGCGCGAGGGCGCACGCGTACGCAAGCGCTGTTAGCACTGGATAACTTTCTGCTAGGTGGCGCAAGTTCCTGCCCAACTATAAAAAACTTTAGCAGTATGTAGTTATTCACATAAGAAAGTCATCATTCATCTATCCATCCGTGTTAACAATCTTTCGTTGCTGCGCTGGCTGCGCGTGCTGTGCCTCGGGAGTAGCAGCGCAGTCGGCGCGGATGCTTCAACAATTCCAACGAAGCGCGAAATTGCATCTCGGGTGTCAGTGTCTGAGGTTTGGTCGCGGTACAGCTTATTGTAATTTATCCGCATAGCTGCGTGCTCTGTACAAGCGTACCGGAAATACGTTTCCCGGCGATAAGGTTTCTGCACTGAGTGGCAGCTTCAAGTGGAGCCAGCGCAGCTGTTCGTCAGAGCTGGAATTTGCACCTAGAGTGTTTGCTTTGATTATATCGACCCTCCGGGACGGCAGCGGCTGCGATGGGAGACTCTTCGTAAGTTTTCTCTCATATTTCCTGTCATATTAGCGGCGTGGCACGAAGCATAAAGTCCGCAATCGGCCGATCTTCCCCATGTTTACTGTGTTCTGATCTAAGTGTTCTATCACGAAATGCAAGTATAGTTTTTCGGCGCGACCAATACTTAGGTGTCTGCCTCAACGGGCGAATTGTCTCCCAGCTGTAGCTGGCTAAATTTCTCATCTACAGCTAGGAGACAAGTCGCCCGTTGAGACAAAGTTCTAGGCTGTATAAACATACGCACACCCCAATTTTTAGATGTCACCACAGCTCTCCCTGATCATTTTATAAAAAAAAAAAAAAAAAAAAAAAGCTGGAGACGCAAATTTTAGTACTTGGTGACAGAGTAGTTTTTGCTAATTCCTAAACATTGACTGATCCACATTCATGACAGTTTGTTCCTGTAAAAAGAAAAAAAAAAAAAAAGTGGGACAAGGAATATTTGTGTTTTTCGCTCGAGAAGTGTGTTACCCCTACCCCCATGTCATATGCCCCTGTAATAATCTCGCGTATGATGGACATGTTTCACCATGTCCACGATTATTCATACTCAGCATCCTGCAAAAGCAATGAGATAAAGGCTATCTGGCATGCATTCAGCAGCAAGACTACTGCATCACCAGGTCAAATGACATCCACATAAGCAAGTCGGTGCTGTTACTTAAGGGAAGAACAGCATTTCACCCCTAAACGCATTCCGATTCATCTCACTCGCAGGCTTTCGGGGTTTCCCCCCGAGGTCCCCCTCACCACCGCACTCACTGACGAAGACACCAAACGGCGAATCACCAGCCTCCAATCCTCGTTTGTACGCACATTCGGCATTGAGCCCGAATTCTATGTGCGAGCTCCAGGCAGAGTGAACCTGATCGGCGAACACATAGACTACTGCGGCTACGCTGTCTTGCCCATGGCGGTCCAGCAAGACATCCTGGTCGCGTGTCGCCGCAACGAAGTGGCCACGCTGCACCTCAGCAATGCTGAGCCAAGGTACCCGAGCTTTTCGGTGCCAATGGATGCGCTGAAGATTGATGACACTGAGCCACGCTGGTACCACTACTACATGTGCGGCGTCCGCGGGGTGCTCGAGTGCCGCACGGCGTCGAATGAGCTTGGCACTTCCGTACCGGGCATGGATGTCCTGGTGCACGGTAGCGTACCGCCGTCTGCCGGGCTTTCCAGTTCGAGCGCGCTGGTGTGTGCGGCAGCATTGGCTACGCTGCGAGCCAGTGGGTATGTATGGACTCGATAACGTGTGTGGTCATTAAACGGGCGATAATGCCGAGTCGCTGGGCTGTGGATGCATGCGTGGCATCTGATGCTCCGTGGTAGAGAGCTGCTGAGCTTGTTTGGAACACATTCTACGGCTCGTAGAGGAAGATGGCACCGCAGAAGGCAATTATTGGAATGGCCTATTGATCCCAGGACTGATATGCCTGCTTTTTGTTAGGCTTGTTGAAGGCTGGACTACTAGTGATCTGTAGCGGATTCAGAGGGTGGGTCTAGATGTCTCGACTCCTCCCTTATAAATTCCACATCTAAAATTTTAGGGCTGGGAAGAGGAAGAAGATGGGGAAGGGTTTCTCAAACATCTAATGCGCTGACCCCTCCCCTCAGGGAACACCTGCATCTGCCCCTGGCTGTTAATGAGTCGAATTGTGCTCCTTATTTTTTAGTGAAGGAAAAGGTGTGGTAGCGGCTTCCCAACCTGGACAGTAGGAGTGCACTCGTGGACTGTCCAGTTTGGTGGACTGGAAATTATTGGGAATGTACATCGTATGATTCCTTTTACATTTTCTTGGCTAAATATAAACATGATTAGCCTGTAGGTCTGAAGTGCCATATATCCTTCATGGAAAGAGCAGTGGGCCGTCTACTCAAAGTTACATCAGTCTGCGCACGAAAACATTGCAGTGGGTCACAATAATCTGGAACTGTTCAAAGGGCCTTGCCCAGGCTGTGACTTGGAGCTTTGTCTAGGTCACAGCTTGTTCTGGTCACTTATCTGTTATAGGCATACTTCAAAGCTGACATGATTGAGGCCGTAATGTAAAACGGAGATTATAGGTATTTACTCGAGAGGTTATGCCAAGATGCAATGTTCTTTTGCTTCAAAGGCAAATTGGATTGCAAATGCTCCGACATACTTTATGGCATTTAGCGTTGAAACATAAACACACTTCTCGTTCCCTCTCCAGGATGGCAATGCCAAAGCTGAAGCTGGCTTCAATGTGTGCAACATCGGAACGCTTCATCGGCACACAAGGCGGAGGCATGGATCAAGCCATTGCTTTCCTTGCTGAACAAGGTGCAGTCTCGTCCGAAAAATCGCGCGTCGACCACAGCAACCAGGGTTATCTTTCTCGAGGGCATAACTTGTCAACAAGTCGATGCTATCGGCAGAAAAGTAGCACAGCCCGTCTTGCCAACGGCAGAGAGAAACTTCTCGATGTGCATGCACATATGGTTGGTTCTCTTAAAACATTTTTAAACATCAACTTGTAGAAACAGGACCATTTTAAAGTAAACTCGTTCAGTTAAACCGCTCAGTTTTTTAAACTTTCAACCAATAAAAAAGAACACAGCATGCCTTGGATGCGTTTGTCGGTTGTAGAGTTGTACAACCCATGCAGCAAAATATGTGATAATCAAACTGCCGCAACTGTAAACTGCTGTCGTAATAAAACTGCCATAGTCGGTGTCAGGGCGAGGACAGCAGGGCATGTCTTTTGAACATGCAGTCATAAGCAAGCGCTTGTCGCCTTTCATGGTGCTTTGGCTGCAATTGCACGCCTGAAGCTGACGAGACGCCGAAGGATTATCGAAGGTACAAAGCATGTGCTAGATGCAGGACAGCAGAAATACCTCTCTGCCATTTCCATCCTGTGTAATAAAGCAACAGGAACTTGCGAATCCACAGAAATACACCTGTTTCAAACTAAAAACAGAATAGTATAATTGAAGTTAATCTGCCTGCTAATGCATCTGCAAGATTCGATCCACATTATCTTGCAGGGGACAAAGGCATTGAATATCGCGTGGCAAAGTGGTAAAGTGGAATGACGTGATAGAGGAAAGCTTTTCCATCCTTTGCTGCAGGCACTGCCAAGCTGATTGAGTTCAATCCCCTCAAGACGACGAGCGTCGCACTTCCCAAAGGCGCTACGTTCGTCGTTGCAAACAGCTGCGTTGAAATGAACAAGGCGGCAACATCCCACTACAACGTCCGGGTGGTGGAATGTCAACTTGCAGCACTGGCAAGTAGTAGTTCTCTCAAAAGGGTCACTTCTTAAACTACAAGGGTTTCCCTTTAAATCTGTTCGACTAGCCATTACTTTACCCACCCCCTCAAAAGGTGCCTAACCTACCCAGAAAAAAAAATTTTGCAAAAGAAGTTGATTTTTAAAAACGCTATACAGTATAGACCACTTACAACGTAACCGCTTATAGTGCAGGACCGGGTATAAAGCGGCTTTTTTTAACCACCGGTTCGCCTCCCATAGAACTCCATGTAATTACATACCGCTTAAAATGCAGGCGCGCGAAGGGAAATACCGGTTATAGTGCGGTTTCTGGAGCAGCGCGCCGACCGGCGCAGCGAGCACGCTTCCCTGTGTGACACCAGATAACGGCGCTAGCCGCAAGCGGCACTCGCGGGGGCAAGGAGGTTGCTCGAAGAAGCGGGGAGAAGCGAAGAGAGAGGCTTCAGTTGCCATAGCGACGGAGGGACGCACGCACGTGTCGTTCACGGCGCAAAGAGTTGACAAGCCCAACCAGCCATTCGCGCGCGTTGCATGCCGGTCGCGGGCCGGCTGCTTCTATCCACAAACATGGTGTCGGTGGTGATCGTCGACGTAGACGGCGTGGTGGAAGCTCATCGTTCCGCGTAAAAGCGCTATCCTTGACTGTGAATTTCATTGTGTGTCACTATGATAACCCAGCACGTACTAGAAGGGAAGATCCACCTACTCGTGGCGGCACTCTCAAGACAGCAGAAACGCCCGTGTCGTCGTGTTTTGTTTACTTCGACTACAGTGGTGCTTTCTCAGCATTCGTGTTTTCGAACATTGCCCGGATTTCTTATTTGGAGCATTTCATATGCGCATTTCATGCCTTTTTTTGACCATTTCATGCGCATACCGTATAAAGGATGCAAATTTTCACGCGTTTTCATCACCGCAGAAAAGTGATTAGGGTTAGCAATCCTGAACGCTCGCAACGTCTGTCCGCAACCCGCGATGCCGTTAAAAGGCTGCGCTAGACAAAAGTCGCTCATTTCTTTCAAAATGTGTGACACACTTGAGAGAGAAGTGTACTAGTCTGGTGAAACAAAGACTTTCCTCAAACTAAGCTTTATTTTTCATCTAACATAAAATAAATTGTTTTACAAAGGTAAGTTGTCTGATGGCATGTATTTTGGCCTGAAAAATTGATGTTTTGGTTATAGCGCGGTACCGCTTATAGTGCGGATTTTCGCGACTCCCGCGACATACGTTATATGCGGTCTACACTGTATTTCCATTCACCAACATCTAGAAAGTATTTGCAGAACTTTTAATTTTTCTACACTGCATAGGGTTTTTTTTATCAATTATTTTCGGTCCGTCGATGCTAAAAAAAAGGTAGAGGCTCGAGTACTTTGAACGCATTTTTCTCCATTCCACTTTTTGGCATAAATTTCACTTTAGCAAAAAAAAAACTATTGTATTGTTTGCTAACAGGACAAAAAGAAAGGCTCGCTCGTGTTTTTCCTGACTGGAATTTAATATGCAATGCAACTGTGGTACTGTTTTTTTTTTAGTTTGTGGATGTCTTACAAACGATGTTCAGATTTTGTCAACGATCTAAAAGGCAAAACTAAAACTTTAATTATTGAGTGCGATGTTAGCATAAAATAAATTATTTTGCAAATTTTGTTTTCACAGTTGCACTCTCCAGGCATTCTGCATATCCAGTGAAGAATGTTGGGTATTACATTAGTTTTCTAACAAAAGTTTTCTTTAACATTGTCACCGTGTTCCAAATAAAAATGACTATAATTTCTTTCACAATTCACGTACACAGACGAAACTTCGCACTGCATTCTGCCTCGCAACTGCTATTGTTTACTGTAAATTTAATTCCTATTAAGCCAAAGGTTTAAAAGATGACCCTTTTGGGTAGTTTCCTCCCTTAAGACACTTGTACACAAAACATTTTATATTTTTATGTTGCCACTTAATTTCTGAAAAAGGAAAGAACAATTTACACAAGCTTGATCATGCCGACAAAGACGGAGGAGCACAGAATGTGTTAAGCTCAAACCACACACGACGCATGTGGGTTGTGCTCAACACACAATGTGGCAACAAGCACCTGGCGAAATTGTAAACTACAATTCACTTTGCAGTATTCGCCTTGCCCGCCTAAACACTTGTTGTGGAGACAACGAGCAGACTGGAATTTTTTGTTTTCTGTGTCTGCCCTGCCCAGGTTATCGCCAAGGCCCACAACCTTGAATGCAAGAAGCGGCCGCGGCTGGGAGACGTCCAGGCGTCTCTCGGGGTACCGCTGCATGAGATGTCTTCAGTGGCGAAGCTAGCCCTCCACCCCGCCAGCTACACTCGTGCTGAGCTCTGCAACCTCCTTGACCTGGACCAAGACCAGTTCGAGGCATCTTTCCTCACCAGGAACACCAAACACCTTCAAGAGTTCAAGGTGGGTTCTGCTCCTGTAATAATCTGGTGGGGGACCAGCAGTAATTACCGGTTCTCTGCTGTGCCTTGCCTGTTGCATGAGGCAACAGGCAAGGCACTGTTCGCTTTTCTGCACAAAGACTACAGACAATTTAGTGGGTAAACGCTTAAAGTGATGTCACAATGTCAGGTGACCTCATTTCACATCACACAATGTCACAACTTCCCTGCTGAATTTAACGGAAAAATGCTGCAACCTTTTTTGCGTGCCCCTTTCTTTCACCAACGCCATGTGTGAGAAACCCTGGCTTTATCTTGACGAAAAAATTGGTGGCTGTGTTTCGAAGCAGCGTTCAAATTGTCATATGCATTTTAAGAGTAAGAGAAGTGCAGCCAGCGGTCGTGTGAAGTTTCGGCGTTCCTGTCACGCACTGCTTCATCTTTTCAAAGTGTTACCTTTTCGTCCCCCCTTACCTCTTCATCCTTGCAACAAAGCAAAGGATGCGCAGAGAGACGTTCATGAGGTGATCTATGACGTGTTGACATGTGCATTATATGTGTTAACATGGGCATCAACGTGCATGTCAACGTGTGCATCAACGTGCATGTCAACGTGTGCATCCCCACATGTGTCGGCACGTGCATCAACGCACGTGCCGACACATGCATCAATATGCATGTCACCATGTGCACAACGTGCGTGTCAGCATGTGTGTCAGCACATGCAGGTAGTGGGCAGCTGGCCAGTGGAGCATAGATGGACAGGTGGAAGTGTGGAAAGAAAAACTCTACCCTCTCCACTTCTGCTACGTTCTCCACTCTACCCTTTCCATCCACTTGTGCCATGCCGAGCCACATACACACGGGAAATCTGGACTGGCTTCTGTTGGAACAATCATTTTGTAATTCTGTTGTATGTTTGTTTATGCCATGGCCTCCAAACCTCAGCCCGTAGGCTGGGGTTTGGAGACAGATACATTCGTGACTGGGTGCATTGAGGGAGCTGAAGCCCCATAAGCCCCTCCCCTGGCTACGCCACTGTGCAGGCCAGGTGCAACCTGTAAAGGGCTTCTGGCCAGCCCGCGAATGGCCATGGTCTTTCCAGCGACACCCAGCCTGTCATCCGCAGCTACCAACGCAACAATAAGCGTGCATAAAGACACCGGTGCTGCAGTGCGCACCAAAAGAACGAACACAAATGTCAGGAAGAAAGAGAAAAAACTGCATCAAAACGGGGGTTATCTTGCCGTACGACAATTTATTTTGCAGTCGGCAGCAAAAGTCTGCGGGGCACGGGAGCGTCAGCCGAAATGACTGGCCGCGCCTTCTGATGGTGCGTTGCCGATCTCAAGACTCTCGCTTTGCGCATGCGCTTCCTCTCGTGTTCGCAGACATGTATTTTTTTGCTCACTTCTGTCCGACGCGTATGAGATAACAGACTGGCACAAGGTGCTGCGGAATGTCATCTGGAACTTGCAAGTTCCGTCACCCATCATGATGACTTGGACAGACGTGTAGCATGACGACTCACAAAGCGTCACCTTGCGTCGATCCCAGTTATCTTGTGCGCGTCGGACGGAAGCGAGTGAAAAAGACATGACTGCAAACACAGAAGTAAGCGCAGCCTCGGAGTGCGAGTCTTGAGAGCGGCTGCGCGTCGTCAGAAGGCGTAAGCAGTCATTTCGGCTAGCACTGCTGTGCACTGCAAAGACTTTTGCTGCCAACTGTGCATTATCATGACCAGCATTACTATTCATAGTCCCGTTTCACGTCTGTGCAACCATGTCAAAATTGAGTTGCGTTCTTGCATGCATCGTGCTTAGTGTCATAAGCAGTGTTGCAGCCGAATAAGCACCCCCCTTCTATACCAACTCCATTCCGGGGAATCGGAGTTTCTGATAATTCTATTCTTTTCACCTTCTAGAGACAAAGACACTGGGACTCAGTCCTACTCCTGGATTGGCTGAACCATTCCCTTCCATTCCTCTAATTATGCACATGTGTCACGTGAATGTATCATGCGATACATTCACGGCACTAGGTTTGCTGCGGTGGCTTGTAGCGTCCGCTGCATCCTTCGTACAAGATGCTCGTCAGGGAATCAAACCCTGTGTGTCGCAGAAACATGAGCCACTTGCGACACTTTTGGCTCCGCGCTTGCCAGGAAGGCGGACGGCATTGCTTTATCCCTGCTTCGTGTTCTATGACATGGTCATAACATCCGCTCTGTCACATCTCGCAGCACCAAAGACGGCAACTTGTTCATCTACAACTTTTCAGTTTTGGTTGCTTCACTAGGGACACCACTTTCATCCTTGAAAACGAATGAACCGGTTAGACAGTGGCGTTGTCAGTCTGCAATGATACTGTTTCAAGAGTCACTTTGACCGTGCGCTAGAGTTTCACTAGCTGAAGATCGACACAGTCCGCATAAGAACCAAGCCCATTCCAAGCAAAAGGAATATAATTCCATTTCCATTCCATTCCCATTTTATTCCGGGGTTGGGAAAGTGCAGAATGATTCCAGAATCATCCCAACTCCGGAGTGGCAACTCTGCAACGCTTGTCATAACTATTGCATATTGTTGTCATCAGAGTTACCATTCTCTTTAGCCTTCTGTCTTGTGTGAACATATATACACTTTTATTTATGCCTAGTGAGCTTCCTGTGTCCTGATTATTTTGTGAATGTCATAATTAGCAACATGTTAATTTCAAAATTAAAGTACTAAATGCATTCATCCACTTTACGTTTTTTAGGGGCAAAGCCTTGTCCGTCCGGCGTCCGTGCTCATATCGATTGCCATCCCATCTGTTTTCTTAAAAAAAAAAAAAATGTTTGCGCAGTCGACAGGATTCGAACCTGTGCAGGGGGACCCCAATGGATTTCTAGTCCATCGCCTTAACCACTCAGCCACGACTGCGGGACGAGTGGGGGACTCTGAGATGGTGGTAGTAACTCAAGAGCTGGGGATGTCATGGATGACACGTTGCATGTAGCCGCTCGTCTATACAGGAGCGGGCGCTGCGGTCAAATGCGTATATAATCGCGTTAAACTTTGCATGCATTGGCTCAACGTTTATAGACGAGTGGACGCTGCGGTCAAATGCTCAGCTGCGTATATAACCACGATCCATACCACACATTCTCTTTCCGACATGGACCGTTGACTTAAGTGGTTGAGATGCATTCCCACGGCTTCTAGCGGATTCAAGCTGATACGCTAGAAGAACCACTGGCTCTGCATATCACCGACCATAAAGCAGTAATAATGAAGTCGAAATGCAACCCGGAACTCAACACTACCTATGAGCAATAAAAAAAAAAAAAAAAATCAGCACCATCAGCACTACCTATGAACAATAAAATCAGTATCATCAGCACCTCCACAGCTTCGCCCCAATCAACATCATTCACCACGTGGAGATGCGTTCATTTTTTCTTTTTGCTCTTGTTTAAATTTTTGTATTTAAATCCTCATTTAGGTTTGCTCGACTATAATGTCTAAAATTTTTTCCGGCCCTAGGGAAGTGACAGATCCACAGTGTGGCCTCTTAACCAAAATGTTTGGAGACCCCTGGTTTAGATGGCGAGAAGTTAGTCGGCCCCCAGCGGGTGTCTGGTGTCTTTTTCATAGATAAGACATCTAGCCAGTGCAGTACCCCTGCTAGTGTGGGGCCTTCTAACATTCACCATGACCGCATGCCAGTATAACGGTCTTCCCTAACAAAGCAGGCAGGGGTGGGGATCAAACCCAGGATCCCTGGGATCTGCAGTAGGAGCTAACCCAGACACCATTGGAAGGCGATTCTGCATCACTAACAGTGACTTTTTGCCTGCCAAACCCTGTTGAAGTGCCAACAACTTCTACTTGCTTTCCAGCTTTACCAAAGAGCAGTCCACGTCTACGAGGAGGCGAACAGGGTCTGGCGCTTCAAGGAGGTCTGCGACCAGAACGCGAATCCGGACTCTTTCGAGGGCAGCCTGGTGACACTGGGACAGCTAATGAATGAGAGCCACGCAAGCTGCAGGGACCTTTACGAGTGCAGCCACCCGGACCTTGACAGGCTCGTCGACGCCTCACTCCAGGCAGGAGCACTAGGTTCCAGGCTCACTGGAGCGGGGTGAGCTCATCAGTAGATCAATACGAACTTCGTTATATACTCCAAAAACACCAAAGGGAATCTCGGAGAAACAGTCGTGAAAAACTGCTCAGCCTTGTCTCGGTGTCGTCAAATTTAGGTATTCGTCTTAAGCACCGTTCACATACTTGCAGCCGAGTACGACTGAGAGACAAGACCGGGTTTTAAGCCTCTTGCGACGGCGTACAACCTGCTGCGCATCCAGTCCTTTGCTGTTGCAAGACGCTTAAAACCGGTCTTGTCTCTCTCGGTCGTACTCGGTTGCAAGTGTGTACGGCGCTTAAAGGGAAGCTGAAACACTTCTTGGAAAAAACGAGTTAGAGGTGAATTCTGACGTATTTTTATCCCGTGAATCTGACTATCAGATTTGTTTTGCCCGAAGATGCAACCAAACGTGAGAAAACACGAAAAACCTCCGACCAGTCGTGACGTCGTACTAGAATCTTTGGGCCGCCAAGCGCGTGTTGCTCGTATGAGCCGCGCGTGCAATTGCAAGCTTGCCATTTATATTCCCCCGCACTGACACCAGTCGTGACGTCTCTTTCCGATTTTTTTTGTAAATAGTGAGAGTGCGCGTGCATAGCTTTGACAAGCGCTGAAGATGCACGAGAGCGGAGATTTTGAAAGGCTCCTAATATGGCGTCACACCCCGGGAAGAAGGGGATTGAGCAGTATATACTTTGAAAATTAATTTCTGCAGCATCCATGCACCAAATTGAAAAATAATCTCGATATTCGTGATCCTGGAGGCCAAATGTAGACGATTTATGTGTTGTTCCTCAAATACAGAACTGCTTCAGTTTACCTTTAAGGGCAGTGCATTCGGCTTTTATAGTTTATTAACACGGAATGGTGCATAAGCTTGAGAAAGGTGTGACAGAACGCCATGGAGAACACTAAAAAATGTGTGACATGTTCTTCACAGGACATTCTGTTAAAAAAAGTGGTAAACTGAAAAGAAAAACAAACAAACACAATTTTTGACGCGATCCAATGGGAACCGAAATCACGACTCTGAGCTCGACATTCTACCACCACGCCAATTGGTGGGTAGATGCAAAGCTAGCTGGCTCTGTCTTTACCGTGCCGGTCTCCTCAAACTTTTAGATGCCCAACGCCGGCATTTGGCTTGATGGCTTTCAAACGGTCAATGGGAAAAAAACGAGAAATCCAAGATGTGCACACCATTGCATAAAAATTTGATAGTTTAAAAAACATAAAACTGTGGCATTCACCACAAGCTTTGAAGAATGCTGTGGAAACTTATTGTGTGTACAGTGATTTTTTTTCGAAGGATCAAGATAAATAAAGTTTTTTGTTTACTAGAACGCACCTCTACTATGGTTGCAGAGTGAAACAAGGTATTTGATTAAGGGCGCAGTCCTCTGAACTTTTGGGTCTAGAAACCCTGCCGATATGGGGTCAAGTAATGGATTGATGGATGGAGGTTAACGGCTGTATCACTTGTAACAGGTGGTAGCTTGCACTACCTAGCCTTGAAACCAAAAGTTCGATTTTTTTCTCCTTGCAAATTTCTTTCCCCTTCGTCTTTTTGTAACTATCACCAGGCGGTGTGGGATAGTGCCAGGATGACCTTTAATGCCTGGTACTATTACTGGGCAGCGTGGGATAGTGCCAGATGACCTATCACCGGGCAGTGTGGTATAGTGCCAGGATGACAGAGGCATTGGCTGCCATGTGAAAGCAGCCAACGCTTCCTTGTGACAACCGGACATGTGCGTCACACATGTTGCATGTCAGAAATTAGGAAAATTGCAACAGCGTGTTCAGAGTTTACTTGCGAAATGATTGGAAACAGGCAGCCATAGTTTTTCTCACTCTTCCCCTCCACCCTAAAACAACTTTAAAGCTACACAACAGTTATTTTCCTGGATTCTTCATGTGAGACGTGAAAATCTCACATTACGAGATTACTGGGAGCTGCTAACAAGATTGCTTCGGGGAACTGTCATTCTGAACACAGGTGGGGAGGATGCGCAATTTCCCTGGTGCCTTCCGAAAAAGTTGATGAGTTCCTGGATCGAGTCAAGTCTGCCTACTACGACAAGCTCGACGCTGGCAAGGAGGCAGCACTGTTTGTCACTCGGCCCGGCAGTGGAGCCATGGTTTTCGTTCCCTAGCCTAGTCAAACGGTATCAACCCTCAGGGTTTCTAAAGGGCATTCCAGGTTAGTGTCGTGGCACTGCTTTTGCCGCTACAGAACCGCGTTCATTCCAAAGTGCCACGAGGTGCAAGTTTTGGCAGAGAGCATCGTTGTGTGCGGCTGCTCGTGGAGACCAAATGTCACTTTTGCATTGTTTTCGCAATGTTACGGGACAGCAGTCTTGCATTGTTGCGTCTGTGTTCTGTATTCGGGCGTCCTGCGATAATGTTTTCGAATGTTTGTGTGGCTCTGAAGCAATATTGTCGCTAGACTTGTCACAGCCTTCCACGGCCGTCTCTACAACGTGGTGTGCGCAAAGTTCAAACTGTTTTTGTTGTGTTTGCATGGCAACACGCGTTAAACCAAAAGAAGGTGTTTGCTCAGTGATTTTTCCAGTCATATAGCTCTTATTGAGCTGGCGTTGTACCAACCATGCTTTCGGTGCACTGTTTTTTTTTTCCGAAGATCTCCGTCATGGAAGTGGGATTTGATCTTGTTGATTTGTTACAAATCGGTCTGTTTGAACCTAGCATAATCACACTGGGCGTTTTGTTTTGGCGGGGTTTTCGATATGGCCATATTTTGTTGTAGGGACTCTGCAAGAAATAAAGATTTTACGACTGAACTGCTCTGGTGACACAACTGCTAGCATGAAAAGTTCTGACTATTACCATACTTGCTTGTATAGCTTAGAAACTGCCACAGGAAATTTACACATTAAAAAAAAAAGGCAAACAACTTTTACATCCAACTTTCTAATCCATCAGGTCAACAGATGCAACAAGCTTAAAGGGATACTACAATGAAATTTCGGCACTTATTTCTTGGTCTATATGTGTTCAAGGAGCAGTATCACATTGAACACACCAATATTGTGTTAAAAAAGTCACGAAAAGGAATTTTGAAATGAATTAAACAATTAGCAAAGAGCACCTGGTGGATGTCGCTAATGCCTCGCTTGTAATACCCGTCTAAAACCTTTGAGGGGCAGTGACGGTTATTGTCTCGCCTCCGGCCACGACCAGAGAAGAGGGGAAGTAGGAACTCCTCTTCCCGAGAATCCCTTTGTTTGACCCAGAAGTCGCTATTGTCCCTCTATAAGATTATAGAAGATTAACCAGTCACTCAAAATTCGTACAAAAGCAGCCGCTTCGGTCGCTGGAACGACTAGGCCATCCTCTCGACGTCAGCCTCGCTGTAGCTTTGCTCGTCTCGAGACGACCTACGTCACGATTGCGTTGGATGTCACGTGGTCTCTGCTGGCTGTTCTCTGAGCGCTTGCCAGAGTGGACCGTTTACAACAAAAAATACAGTCACCAGGCTCAAAATACAAACAAAAGCGAATTTTCTTTTACGGATATTGTGGATCATATTCAGCCTATTTTTGAACACAACCGGTATATTTCAAATTTTGTTGAAGTATCCCTTTAAAGGGAGATGTGGATAAAAAAAATCAAGCTTACTTTGGAAATTGTCAATTTTTTGGGGTTTTTGCTTTCTTTATTTTTGGACATCCTACTTTTACGATTAAAAAAATCAAAGCAACGCTCGCACCCTAAGTTTGAAAAAAACGCGTCTTACTGACTCATGGTGCTCGAAAAACCGCCGTTTTCGAGAGGCTGTCGCTTGGGACAGCAGCACCAGCAGCACTTCCTACGGATCTTCAATTCGATTTGCGATAAACAGCACTAAAAGCATGATTTTTGCATTTGAAACTCCCAAAGGAAAGGCAAGTTTCAAGAAAGGTGGCGCAAACGCAAGTGGAGAAAGTCTGTTAAAGGGCAACTCCGCTCAATTACGAAGATTTTGGGATAATGAGTGATTTTGCATTAAAAAGCCCTAGTAAAAGACACCACGTTGTTTGCTTCGCGAAGAATGGGATATATATTTTTAAATCTTAATTTTAAACACGAGCCGAAACCGAAACTTTGGCTCCGTCCGGCAACATTGGCCTCGGGCCGCCAAGAACATAGCCATCACGTGGTATGAGATGTCACGTGATCCTCTACACAACGACGAACAGGACTGGGGCGGGCGTGTGCCAGGTGCAGGTGTCGTCTGCATCGCGCAGTTGTCACATTTTGGTGTCTACGAGATTCGACAACGTCTGCAGAACTGCGGCACATGTCTGCGCACATAGTGAACGTAGTGTGGATTAAACTCCCAGAGACAATAGTCACAAACGGTGAGACGACGCCGGCAGTTGTGACGCGGGAGACAGCGGTAACGGCGAAACCATGGCGGGTCGGCCGTCCGGCTCCCAAAAAGCGCACTGCGCAGGCGCGTTATACCAATCGCGTGGACATTGCTGAGCGCCGAGAGGAAACGTTGCTGACGTCATCCACTACGCTCGCACAGAGAAGTAAAAACAAGCAAAAGGGGGCCATGGTCATGACGTTTAGCTCAATGTTGGCTACACCCACGCCGCAGCCTTGACTGCGCTTTTGGTTGCGCCTGAATATGCCCGCTCGAGTTAGCCAATTTCGGCGAGTTGCAAACTTTTCCGGACCGTTTCAGAAACATTGACAGAACTGCGTCGTGATATTTGACGTGTGGTCTTCCTAGGCGATACTGAAGGGGACTGCATTGTTTTTTGAAAACAAAAAATGAAGCGAAGTTGCCCTTTAAGGAGTGTTTACTGTGGCCTGCTGAGCCTAACCACGGTTGCGGCCACTGTTCCGATGCAATCGATGTTTCGTTCACGTTTGTTCGCGCAACAGAGGAGAAGATGGCATCCTTCGAAAACAAATACAGAACATGGGACCATGGCTCTGCGAGTTTGGTGATGTGCAACATTGGCGTGCCGACATGTGATCTGTCCCGCTTGTGACGAGTGCAGATTCTGTGTTTCCGAGTTGGCTGGGAAACGCAAAGGATTTTCATCGTCCCTCAGACTACACTGAGAAGAGCAAGTGTCCCAAGTGGGTTCTTTCTTTCGACATTTTCGTTGAAATGTGCCGCACCACATGGAGATGCACGAGTGCAAAGCAAAGCTATGACATCAGGAAGCTCGAACAAGTCTTTCCGTGGACTTGAACGCTGTCAACTTTTAAAGGGCCTTCAAAAAGGCTTTACGACGTCCATTTTTCTTAATTGAATTAAAAATGTGTACACAGCTTTTGGCTAGACACTGGCACACTACACTTTATAGGGAGCATTATGAGCTGTTGCACCATGCCCGTTAAAAAACCTAGATGTCACAAAAAAAAAAAAAAAACCTTTCCATGTAGTTGTTTCTGCCTCTGCACACAAAACTATAGAAGCTACATTACACTAATAACTGTTTTAAAAAGAATGCAAGACTTTATCAGTAGCTAAGGTTTCAATATTTTAGAGCGAGTATTAAATAAAAATGTTCCCGGCCCTCATTCTTTTACAAAGAAAAGCAAGAGTAATGTGCAAATAAACCTGAACAAATTATATGTATAGATCATTATGTATGCACCAGCATGGGCCCCTGTACAATGAAAACAACTTGTAAATTTCGGTGATTGAACCAATGTGATCCAAACTAGATGTGATACAGAAAATGATTTTATATTACAGATGTAAAATGTTTGTTACTGCCCACTAGTGAAGCACGAAATCCGCGTGTTCACACTTGGTGACAACTATAATTACAGTGGTCGCATAATTTTTTTTTTTCATATACGTGCTTGTAACCGACATTATCAGTCACTCTCGTCACTTCCAGAGTAGGTTCCCAAAAGATTGAGCCCGCTCGAAGCAACAGGATTTGACGTGGCAGATTGGCTTGACGAGGCGCCAGACCCCGCCGGCTTTTGGGGCTCGGATGTGGATTGTGTCGACTTGGGACGGACGAGACCTGCTAGCAGCGACTTCGAGCTCGACTTTGGAGCAACTGGTGCCTTTGAGGTTGACATCAGTGTAGGCCCTGCTGCATGCGTGTTGGAGACACTGGTTCCCTGAAAGAAAATACTGTAGCTTAGTCATAATAAAACACTTCAATAGGATCAGGAAAATATACTTTAAATGGAAACATTACCACTTTAATGTGGCATTTACAAAGACATGATGCCAGGTTTAGAACACCTGAGAAAGCAGTATGCAGCCGATCTACAATGACATTTGGAAGGCTGGAAGATCGCCTATGTTTTATTTATGTAGATCGACTATAGCCGCAGCAGAGAAGACTGGCTGTTCAGAAAGGCAACATCAAAGTTCATAAAATCCCTGGATTCCGCCTCACCTCGGCCAGAATGTCCGTCGGCTTTTCGTACGTCGTCCGCGGTCTCTTCGGCTTGTCCTCTTCGCTGTCTTCGTCGCTGTCCTCGACGATCCTCTTCACGGCACCTTCCGCACTCTTCCCGAAGACCGACCTGCAAAATGAGCAGATCACAAAGTGCCAGATTTTTCTTTTGCTTCCGCACTGGTACTTTACGCGTCGCCTTTGTACAAGCTGCACAAGAGTTGCCAAGACGAAAAAGCGTCCAAATGATAAAAAATTGTCTTGTTGCATTTACTGGAATCCCAATCTGTACATTTTCCGATCATTGTACGAAGGACAACAGGACAGCCTCAATGCTCGGAAACTTGTAAGTGCAAACAGACACGGACACGAAGAAGGGGCGTCGAGCACTATGCACCGGCCACACTCTTTCACCGTAACCCGGCAAGCGGCAAAGACCACGGTCCGATGAGCCAAATGGCGCGCCGGACAGAAACACATGACTGTACTCCGTCGCGCAGTGCTGTCAAAGCCGCAAACGGGAGAGAGCAGAAAGCTGCTTTTGTACAAACTTCGAGCGACGGGCCAATCTTCTGGGGTCAGAGAAGCCATGTCTGGGACACACAAAAGAGGGTTTGGGCTAGATGGCAGTTCCTCCTTCTCTAACTATTTGAACTACATCGTTGCCCCTGTACCTTTGGTGAGGGCCGTCACGTGCTTCGCCTTGGCCGCTCATATTGGCTCGCAGGGGCCGCAGCGTTCAATCTTTGCCAAGTTACGGTGAAACGAAGCATGACCCGACAACGAGTCTTGCAAGCTCAGCCTTGATGATGTTTGCAAGACAAATTGACGGCGCTTACTGTCTTCATATCAAGTAGCCTGTAACGTTGTCAGCGCAAGAGGAATGCCGGCTCGTTTGGCAGCTCACAAGCAGACTCTGCCAGGTTTGTCCAGTCCAGTTCGATTCAGTTTCAGCGTCGCGACGCAGTTCTACGACGGCGTTTGGGAGTTCCGATACTCTAGAAATGTTCGGTGAATCTAGCATAAACGAAGGGATGGGTGGCAGTGGTGGCTTTTCTGCTTTTGTAGCGGGCGCCACCTAGCCTTTGATCCATTCGTTGACATAAAAATACTCCGTCCAGAGCGTGGGTTGCCAGACTGACTACTCGACCTACAGCCTGGGAAGCCAGATTCACATGGATGAATGGATCAATGCTAACGGCCATATCCTTTATATTGGGTGGTAGCTTGTGCCACCTAGCCTGTAAATTAAGAACCGAAAATATGGTTTCTTTCTTTCGCCAATCTGCTTACCCTCTGCAATTTCATAGCCATCACCAGGCGGTGTGAGGTATCACCAAGATGAACTTTGGGGAATCGGGCAAAGAAAACTAAAAGCTTCACCCCCCACCTCTTCTCCCCGGCGAGGAAGTCGCCAATTTTCCTCTGGTCAAACCTAGTTGGCATTACCTCGGCACTGGGTCCACTGGAAGGCGGGGTGGAGACTGGGCCAGAGCCACGTGGAAGGGAGTCCCAATTTTCTTCCGTCCCGCCTATCCCCAGCTGTGTCAGTTCGTCGTACGTCATTCGATTCCCCCTAGATAATTCCCACCAGTCTTCCATCTCCTATTTGTTCTCAAAATGGACTTATCATCCATTCTTGTCTGCAAATCCCAGCTCTCCGGCTAAATTCATCACCCTCTCCAGGAGGGTGGAAGCTAGCCCTGTGCACCTCAACACCACGTGTTCTATTGTCTTGTCTTCCCCTTGGCATACAGCACACTGCATATCCATTTCCTCATACTTTGTCCTATATGTCCTAGTCCTCAATACTCCTGTTCTAGCCTCAAATAACAACGAGCTCCCCCATGAATTATGATACCCACGTTCCTTCCTGTTTTTGTCCCCTATACATATTGAAGGCTGATTTTCCCTGCATTCTTTCCTCCCACATCTTTCTCTCTGCTTCTTTTACTTTCTTTTTCACAGAGGTAGTCTGCTCAGCTCCCGCACTTGACTCTTGGTATTTGAATTTCAGTTTTTGGGTTCGGTCTGTCCATTCAGTGTTCAAACCTTTTATGTATAGATGCTTATATACTAGTGATGGACCAAATCTGGCAAACTTCAGATATGGCGAAGGAACTTTTGAAGGAAAGTTTGGAGAAGATTTGGCAAACGTCTGCGCATGCGCGAAAACACGACAAGGCCATGGATTGCAAACGGATGCCGTGCGATCACCATCATACAATGAATACTACCAGCGGTTAGGGCTGGGTGCAGAGTAGGCGACACTGTAACTGTGTGTTTGTCAGCCTTTATAAGTGTAATTCTCTTCAATACTTTGAAGATTACAGAAGATTGACCAGGAATTGACACAGTCTACTGCACAAGTGGGCAAATGATGTGGTACAATCTGGATAACGTGACTTTCATTTGATCTTTCCAGTGATGCAACGAGGTAGTTGCAACATTAACAACATTGACTACCAAGTACTTTAAAGCACTCCTCGCCATTATAGCACTCCAGTTTTCAGCTCACAAGTAGTTTGTGCCAAAACAAATTATACTGCTTTTTAATTAGCACTATTTTGTGGTTTTTTTATCTATCTACATAAAAATAAACATAGAACTATCATGCTCGATGTTGCACATCTGACATTCCTAACTCTTCCCATCCTCCTAAATGCCTGCGTGTGTCCTAATATCAGAAACCGGCATTTTAAAAGTTAAAAACGAGACGCTGTGAATATGGAATGCATACTTTCATGCAAAGCTGAAGTGACTCATATCGAAAAACATGCATATTTATAATAATATTGTTATTGCTTCTGGTGGAGGCTCAGCAGCCATAGCATCCATTTTTGCACACAAAATGGCGACTCTCAGAGAAAGTAAGAACAGTGTTACCGCTTGCACTGATGAAGCCTCGAAACAGAAACTCGTGTATCACAACTGCGCCCACTACTACCCAACCTCGTTGGCACGCCACTTCTGCAAAACGTCACTGTAAAATTGCCAGTAAACACACAATTACAAAAAGGGCACTGATACAATTATCTTGTAGAATATCCCCTTTCTTAGTAATAACTGTGTCAATTTTTTCGCCCAATAAAATGAAATATCAACTTTTAGGTCTAGCAACAATGCATTTTTGCCAAGAAGTAAGACGAAAATTTGGCTTTTCCAAATCATGAGATTCGGTGCCAAATTTTCAATTTGGCAACAGTTTGGTCTATCACTATTATATACGTTTCTTGCCCATCGCATATCCTCAATTGTCTCCATTCCAGTCTTCATTCCAATTTCAACTTGCTGATTGCCTTTCTAGCCTCGAAATATGCCCAGCTTATGTCTCCCTGCACTCCTTCATTTGGCATACCCTCATGCGCCCCCAGTGTCAGGGTCTCTAAGCTCGACTGGACCTCAGATTTCATGCATAATACCGCATACTCCATCTGGGGCAGGGGTTGCCACACTGACATGGCCCAAGAACTGCAAGCAAGCCACTTAAAAGTCACTGCGATCAAGATCTGAATTAAGTGCATCACTGTACTCGGGGACCACTTCTCTTGGCATCTTTAAGGAAAGGGAAAGAGTGCACGCACAACTTCAATCAGTGCTCAAAATGGGAAAGGGCACGCATGCCCGTATCTTTAACTGAATTGCCAAGGAAAGTTGTCCCCGAGTATAACTGGAATTAGTTGCCTATGTGACGATAATAATAAAGACACTATAGTCGGTTGCAAGCTAAGAAAAAACCGGAAATGCCTCTCAGAGGAAAATGTAATCCTACGCCGAGAAACGCCAGCCAATTGTTTTCATGACGTCACGATTCTGTGGACCAATCGCGATCCTTTTGAAAAAGAAAAAAAGCTCAACATGGCTGCTGGCCTTAGCAACGCGATGCTATAGTTTCTCGTGACAATTATTCTGCTTTTTTGCACCGTGTTTTACGTGCCCGAGGTTACGCCACGAAATCTTGATGGTATCGGCTTGCGTTTGCAGCAGTTTTTGCGCGACAACGTGACAATCCAGCGACGCTATCGCCAACGAAAATTTCGAAGCGGGCACGAGGCTTAGCATTGCTGAGAGGTACGTTAGACGGTATGTTAGACAGTATCTTGTACAGAAAATGAATTGGGAAGACGGTACATTGGACATGAATTTCTTTCTTTCTTTACTAAACAGCTATTTTGTTAACAAAAACGTATTCTAACTTATTTAAATGTCCTGAATGAATTAAATAAATATTGTAGTAGTTTAAGACAGGTTTCCTGGAGGAAGAAAAAGCAACGTTGCTAGCGAACTACTTTCTCGACGGCGGAGGCACTTCAGATGGGCGCAATGCGCTTGTGGGTGGAGCTAAAAGATTGTTCTTAGGTTGCATCCGACTATAGCCATTTTGCTTCCGATGTTGCCAACATCGGATATCAAGCAACATTAGAGCTCTGCCCAGGCTATACACCCGCACTGATGCGAATCTATTTCTTGGCAAACAGGATGGCCAGTGCGATTCTGAAAAAAAGCTCTACATAAAATTTGCAACAAATAATAGAACAGGTTTCTAAATGTGTGCAGTTTGCAGGGAAATAAGGAATAAGCATGAAAACTGACTAATCAAAATTAACTGCCCCAACGCGCAGGCAGTCACTGACAAATTATTAGGTCCCCTTGGCCGTGTAATTTCTCCTGCACAAACCGCATTAGTGTAGGTTTCCCGGATTTTTTTAAAACAAATCTGTAAAGCCTAAAAATATAAGGGCCCGCAGATGCGCGCAGCCCACAAAACTAAGGCCAGGCAGTTAAATAAATGCGCGAAAAATGCAAATTCCTCGCCCACGAGGGAATGGACGGAGCCTTACGCGATAAGGTTCTCGTCCTCTTCCTCCTGCCTCTTCAACATGGCCTCCCGCTCTGCAGCGTAGCGGCCCAGCATGGCGTCAAAGTTGACGTTGGCCTGCCGCTTGTTCAGGTCCTTGAGGTCCTCCAGTGCCTCGATGAGGTCCATCTCCTGCTTGGACGCCTGGGTCCTCTTCTCCAGGAGCTGCCCGGGAAGACGGAAGCAGACGACAGAAAGGAAGGCGGTCAAGAGAAAGGGGGTTTGACTCTTCGCGAAAGTTTCGGTAGATTCCTCCGACACCTCGGACAACATCACCAGATTGCGACGCGACGCACAAGAAAGGCGTCGGACCGGTATCGGGTACCGTTATTGGAGCTACCGGAACAATCTACTCAAATTCCCTAGTAAAAATGCGGTGCACGAAACGCGTCTCCGACGGGTGTCTTCACCGTCCTTTCCCGCTCGTGCATCGAAAGTGGCCCCGAAGCAAGAATAGACTGCGTGCTGCAGGACATCACGATCTTGCTGGTGTTGTTGTAGAAATGCCGGCGCAAGAAGAGAGCAGAGGCAAGCGTCACTCTCGTCGTGGCGTCCCATCTCGCGCCTGATTTGATTTCCGCTGGCCATCTGGCCCCAGAGCGACGTTGGACGGAAGAGGCGTATGCCACATCCACCTCCGCTCTTCTGCCGCCACCAGGATTGCAACCGCACGACACCTTTATGACGTCGTCGAGCCGGAAATCGAGGGACCACTTTTGAGGATGCGGTAAGCGCGCCGGTCTGAGTCGCACTCCAGGCACCACAGTAAAAGTAATAGGCCCTTTTCGAATTTTCGAAATGATTAGGGATGCCGCGAACCACCCTAGGTTTGAATTCGAAAGGTTTCAATATTTTCGAACCGAACTGATGTTCGATTTCGAAAAGTTTCGATATTTTCGAACGTAGAGAGGTTCGAATTCGAAAAGTTAGAAGCTTTCACGGTTTCTAAAAGTTTGGGTTCGATTATTTCGAATATTTGTTTACTTGAGGTTCGATAAATTCGAAGATTTCGAACTTCCCTTTGAAATTCGAGAGATTTAAATGTTTCGAATTTCTTTGGATCTAAAATTAGAAATATTTGAACGTTTCGAATTTTTAAAGACATGAGGTTCGATAAATTCGAAGATTTCGAATTTCTTTCAACATAAAGTTCGAAGGTTTCGATTCTCGTCTAAAACTAAATCAAAAAAAAAAAAAACTTTGAAGGTTTTTGATTTCTTTGAAGTCCAAGTGCACAAAGTTCGAAGTCCGGTTGTCATGTTCCGCCACCAGTTTCAGTTTCAAATAACGTTTTCACGCCTCACTAGTTTTCACGAAATCAGGTTTAGAAAAGTTTGGGTGTGATATTTAGACTGCGCGAAGTGCCCCGGATGTGCTGGAATATTTGCCAGTGCAGTGACGTGTAACAATAGATCAGTAATTGTGACCGCCAGCCCGGGGTGGTCATTAACGTGAATTACGAAGTAGTGATCCCACGAACGCACTAATACTGATCCAGTTCAAAACGCCAGGGGCAGGCAGGTGGTTGAGGTTCAGAAAATCCTTGAAGTGATCTGGCAAACTGCCCCCCTACCCCCTTGCGCTCTGGTAGTAATCCGATCGAACGCCGCCCGAGTGACGCTGGCATATAGTAAGTTTAGTTTGTACATGATGCAAAATCCTGAGACTGGGAATGAAATTTGAAAGAAAAAGTGTAAGAAGACAGAAAAAAGGGGACAGCACAACGTCTCAAACTCAACTCAGCTGAAAACTCAGCTCAGGACAACGTCTCAAACTCAACTCGGCTGAGTTTGAGACGTTGTGCTGTCCCCTTTTTTCTTTCTTCTTACACTATTTCTTGCGAATTTCATTCCCAGTGTCGGGACTTTGTATCATAATCACCAGCTCGCCTGCACCTTGACTTTTTTTTTTTTTTTTTTGTAATTCCTTTGGAGGTTTATTTTCTAGGGCGAAGAAACGCCGAGCAAAAAGCACAGAAGCTGACGCAACTTGAGGTCGAGGAGCGTTCTACCATACCAGTGGCGTCGGAAGAGGAAAAACGGGGAGGGGGGGGAAGGGGGGGAGCTCCAGTGCCTCCCCCCCCCCCCCTCCCAGATATTTCGGACTGTTAAAGAAAACAATACGGGGAAAGAGGGCATGGTCGAGCTTATTTTTATCTGAAATTATTTATGCATATGTATAGCTATTGTCGCTCTTCGCTGCATAAAAGATTGTGTAGATGGTCATTGTTAAGGCCGGTTCCCACATGCAGCGAAGTGCTGATGCAACGCTGCTCACGTGCCATCAGGTACTTGTTGATGCCATGTGCAACAGTTTTGACGGTGCGATACAAAGCTGGTGAACGCTCCCGTCGGCACGTGCTTAGCACGAGGTCAGCGCTATGCTTGTAGCGCTCCGCTGCATGTGTGAACAGGCCTTTAGAAACTCGTTGTCAGGAGGCACTACTCGTCACATGCTCGGTGGCTCGAAAGTTCAAAGCTATGTCTTTTCGACCTAAATAACTGTGCCATTGGTAAAAAATAATCAATAAATAAACATAACAATAACTGCAAAAATAAAAAGCTGGAGAGAAAAAAAAAACTACCAAGAACCCGCCGGAAGTGTTGTATTCTTGCATATTCAGAGGCCCAGAACTATGAAACAAGTTTCTCCTACCAAAATGTCTACAGGCCAAAAGAAACACGTCCCAAAAACGTAAAATGAGAAAAAATAATAATTTTTTTTTATGACACGCTGAACTTGAACAATTTTAGAAATCTTCCCCCATGAATTAATTTATTCCTCAACGTGAAAAAGCAATAAATACATTATTTTGTATTCTGCAGATGGTAATGATATGTATCGTCTCTGGTGTTAATTTAAATGCGATACCCTAAACAATGTAGGCGAAAAAAATTACCAAGTTTAGGGCATAATTGTCCGTAGGTACACGTTTGGATATTTATTCGAAACTCGTCTTGAACAACAATAACGATATCTTAAGACGACACTCACCTAGGCTATATATAGATTATTCTTAAAAAGTTTAACATCTCTGCCATAAATAGCTTCGGCTATAGCGCGCTTCAAATATGGTACAAACGACAATTATCAAAAACCCGTCGTCCTCCGTCGCTCCTTCGGGAATCTATTTTTCTAAAACTAAGCATGCCAGATGATTGAAATAAACGGCATTGTCTTTCGCAAAGAATGCGACACCCCATGTAAAATTGCGAAAAAAAAAAAAATTACGAATGTACCTTACTGCTTGAATACAAATAAACCGCCCGCCGGTCTTTCGAAGTTCGACGAACTTCAAACTTTTACTCTAAAAGTTCGAAGTTCGTCAAACTTTTGACTTTTCAGGAATCGAAAACTCGACAATTTTCGAATTCTTTAGATTAATAAGTTTGAAAGTTCGAAAATTTGTGAATTTCTTGCGTAGGAAGTTCGAAAGTTCGAAAAGCTTTGAACTTTTTAGTGGAAGAAGGTCGAAAGTTAGAAAATCATCGAATCTTTTAGTCTATCAAGTTCGAAAGTTCGACAAGCATCGAACTTTGCAGCGTAAGAAGTTCGAAAATTCGAAAAGCGTCGAACTTCTTAGTTTAATAAGTTCAAAAATTCGACTTCCGTCGAATTTCCCGATATGGAAAGTTTGAAAATTCGACATCTTTCGAACCGCTTGATTCGATCATCGAAACTTCGATTCGAAAAAGTTTGCGGCATCCCTAGAAATGATGCATAGATTATGTGCAGCCGCCATTAGTTGGTCACGCACTTTGAGCACACATTAGACACGAGTGCTTCATCAGCATTAAAACTGTGCTTGGATAGAAACGTGTTTCACACGAGCGCCGCGTAAGTACTCGACACAAACTCGGAACCAATCGCAGGCTTTGCGCCGGAAGCGATGAGACCAGCTAATGGCGGCTGCACATAATTGATGCATAATTTCACAATTTCGGGAAGGGTTTATTGTGTTGCGTTTGTGCTTGAACAGACGAAAAGTTGGTCGGCCCCAATGACCGTCTGGTGCCTCCGCCGAAGATGACAAAGCAAGCCAGTGCAGTATGACTGCTAGCCTACAGCCCTAGGGGCGCATCAAGCAGTAGTGGTGTGCGAGCGTACACCAGTACGACGTCCGCCCAGATTGAGATGGGCAGGAGGAGGGGACAAACCCGGGATCCTTGGGTTCCGCAGTGCGAGCTTTGCTCCACGTTCTCCGAGGTGTGCTAAGCCGACGCGCTCGGCCACCGACTCTCATGTAAAGGCGGAGCCGCCCTCACCTTCATTGGGTTGTTCTTCTCGTCCTCTTCTTCCTCCCTCGCCTCACGCTCTGCCGCTTCCTCGGCCAACTTGAGCGCCTGGAAGTTCCGCGTCGCTCCATGCTCCACGATGTAGTCAGAGTTCTGTGGATCTGTCTGGAAGCAGAAAGTACCCATGCATCAATAAGCTGCACGTGTTCGATGGTGCCGACACGTGTGCTAGATTCGGATTAAGGCGTGCTGCGTGAACGTGGCAACCGTGACAAGATTTCGCTCCATTACAAACACTCTGCTGCGTCTAAATCAACCGGCACAAAAAGAAGAAAAAGATGTGTGCCTTTTACATACAATTTTGTTGAGAATTCGTCTCGCGTTCATATTTCTGTCGTTTCTCAAGCATACCTAAATTATTGCGGAATTGTTTCGCATCCCCATGTCAAATTGGGCCAATAAATTAGGAAACATCTTTCAATACTGCATGTCTATTGGTACATGCATTAGCTGTAGTTGCACTTTACTCATTGTTAGTGGTTCGAAGGACAGTGTTGCATCACTCATAGCCTTTATGCTGAAAAGAAAAGCGATGACCATCACAACATCATTGTTAGCTTCTGCACTTTACAGTGCAGAAGCTAACAATGATGTTGTGTTATCCAATTCGAAGGCTGCAGTCACACTTTACTCAGTCTTATTTTGATTTGAGACCACACTGTGCGTCTCAAATAACCACGTGCCACAGAAGTGCACTCCATGCACACGAGACTATTCGTGGTTTGTGCCTTATCTCACATTGCTCTAGACGCGGTTGTAGTTTCACATCATGTGCTCACTGCAAAAACATCTCTAGCTCGAAGTCTCACCACAGTGAAGTATGGTTTGCAGACCAAATGGAGGGGCATCAACGCAAACCACGTACACAAACTGCAAAAAAATTATCCACTGTCGAGACCATTCATGTCTCGCTTTCGGAAACGCGCGCGTGCTGTGCTTGGCAATTGCACGCTGGGCTGTAAATCTGTGAACATTGGAAAAGTGTAAGACACCAACTGTAGTACTGATGTTTACCTACCTTAAACGTGACTTCGGCAAGGCATCGTGGGCACTTGATGTAGAAGCGGAACACTTTGATGCCCAGGTAGTCCTCATTCTGCACGGTCTCTTTTCTTGCGTTGAACTTTTTGCCCTTGTAGATGTATTCACCGCATGTTTTGCACCTGCAAAAGCCCACCTTAACATTACAGAGTGTCTAGAGTTTCGCGCAGACAAAACAATATCAGATCCTGCAGACAAAATGATACCAGATCCCGCAGAGTTCTGTCCAGACGGAACGATAGCAGGTTTAGCAGAGATAGTCCAGATGCAAAGATAGCAAGTGCAGTAGGGGCGGCGCTCAGTTGGTCGAAAGACATTTTAGCAAACACAGTCTTGCTCTCGACTTTTCATTGAAAGTCACTTTAGCAAATTTGGCCACCACGAAGCGGCATGTGCGGGTGGGTGGGCCAGGTGGGTTAATATTTTGGTAGTGAATATTCTGCCTGCAGCCGGCACAACAACCCGGGAAAAATATTGCCGGCAGTTGTCCCCTATTGGGTCTCATATAAAACAAACTTTCAAAACGACCATCTGAAGCTGTAGAGTAGCTCAGAAAAAAAGTGTCTGCTTTCCACGGAGCTTACCCAGGTTCAATCCAAAAGATGGGCATACTATTTCTTTTTTTGGCAATTTTTACACATTTTTTTTTCTCACAATTATCACTGAAAAAAGCAAATGTCGTTGACAAAACGTCGCTGAGCTAAATGGTATGGGACTCCCTTTTCAGGGGCGCAATGGGGGATAGCGAAGCTATCCCTTATTGCAGAGGTGCAGGCAGGGGGGGGGGGGTTAACCGTTAACACGCTCCCCCAGTTAAGCAGGGAACACATGAGCGACAAAAACGGGCGCCGCGCAGCAGTTTCCATGGCAACTCTCGCACGTGCTGTGACGTGGTGGCTTGGCATAGGTCCACGTCACAGGGTCCCAGGCTGTTGCTATGGGAATCGGCGCGCGGCGCCCGTTTTTGCCGCTCATGTGTTCCCTGCTTTATGGTGCCTGGAACACATCTCCGACTGGTGTGTTTAGCGTCCTATCCCGCCCATGCATCAAAAGAGGTCCCGAAGTGGCAACAAATCATGTCATAGAAACCGAAGTGCCATGCTGTCGGATGTCACGATTCTGGCGGTTGGTCATAGAAATGCAGGCAAAAAGTACGAGCGAATGCGAATGTCGCTGTCGTCATGGCGTCCCAACTTCTGGCTGCTGAAGATACTGTGGACTGTCACACCAGAGAGCAACCTGTAGCAGAACAGGTGTCTGCTACCTCCACCACCGCTGCTGGAACACCGCTAGGATCGCGACCGGCAACAGCATGACACTTTTCTGACGTCACCAGACAGACATCAAGGGAGCACTTTTTCGGACGAAGGTAAACACACCAGTCGGAGACATGTTCTAGGCACCATACCCCAGTGATACACATGGTGACTATCGGTTCTATCCGGATGGAACTCTAGAGGTGACTATGGTTCCCACTGGACGGAGCTCTAGTGGCAACTATGGTTCCGTAGAGGCTCAGCTGGTGATAGTGTCTACAGGACTCACGGTTGCAAATTTAAGCAGAGAGCAACCACTTTACTGTTCCAGCCTTCCTGTGTATTCGTATGGGAAAACGTATGTGACATTTTTTTCTTCGCCAGGGGAATATTCGAAATCACTGTAGTTTCTTTACTCGTAATGGGGACTATGTAGATTTATTCACATTATAAAAGTCATTTATTTAGTTAATTTTTTTTATTACTGAGCGTTGTTTAAGTTAGCAAAAATTGAGGCCCAGGTCTATGTTGTACAGCATGATATGTCAATACAAGCTATCAATTCAAGCAAAAAGAACAATTAAAAAGTGTGTAGGGTTTTTTTCAAGCTGTAATAGGATTCAGATGACAGAAACGAAACAAAAAAATCCAGTATGTGTTCTTCGCCCTATAACTCCATGCTTCGTTCTTGTTGTCTGTTTTGATTGTTTGATTTGGCATATATTCGCATCCTTTTGGTGTTTTGTCAAGCTGATTTACTCTGTGTGCTTCATGGCATTGACTATATGCATAAATATGTGCCCTATAACAGCCGTCTGCAACGTCAACATGTATTATACATGTGTATTGGGATATTTTAGCGCAGCGTTCGACGCCATGAATTCTAAAGAAAAACACTCCGATATAGTTTTGTACACCAGATTGTAAAACGTTCCAAACTTTTTATTCTGTCACAACACTAAGCAATATTTGCTCTTATACATGCCCTGCACCTACGTCACATGATGACGTCGAACACCGGTAACAACCATGCTGGTGGTGAAGTCGGCGGCAACTCGCAGCGAGAGCCATGGTAAACTGCACCACGCTCGGCAGCAGCTATTGCTACGCATCCCGTCTATTGTTTCGTCGGCATGCCCCGCGACAGAGTAGCCATCAAGTAAGGGAAAGTATGAGTGGCAAAGAAGGGATGCGGCCATGCATTACTGAGTTTGCGAGGCGCATTATATGGCAGCGAGTGATGGCACTTTTCTACCGTTGTTTACGTTCGTGCACGCCTTCGCATCTGCTTTGTCCGTTTAAGACGTCGATGCCTTTGCGTTTTGTTTCATCACGCTGTTTCCACGCTTTGAGTGAATTATCGGGGCTCCCTGCCGACTACGGGAGAGAGTGTCACGCCGCGAGTCCGGCCGGACGACGATCGGTCAACAGCAGCCCCAGTGTGCGCGCTTGCCGAGACGCCGATGCCGGGGCTTGTGCCGTCCGCGACACGGTAAACTTTGCAAGGAGGGAAAGTATTCAGGAGAGCTTGTTAGAAAACATCATAATCTAAGCCCCGAGACGATGAGTTGTCTTGTCTGTTACTTTATTTCTCCTTGCCTCTTGTTTTAGAGTGTGACGGTGACATTGCGTTGTTAACTAGTACTTTGCAAAATCATAACAATTTTACTACAAGTGTCTCCTAGAGCCGCTCGTCAAATTTTGCGGCGTGCAATGAAGCTTTTTTTGCCGAAACGGCAGCCCTTTGTAATGAAGCTTTTTTCACCGAAACGGCAACCCTTTGCATCAAAATTCCGTCGTTCGCATACAGAAACTTTCTGCTTGTAGCGCAATCGCAACAACACTGAAAAATTCCGCACGTGCTGGCTGAACGTCATCATCGTAAGGTCGGCATGTTTCTCTAAGTTAACGTGTAAAAAACTAGGTAAATTTGTTGAAAATATGGTGCATGCCAGAGCATGTCCAGGCAGTTAGCGACATCCTACACCCTGGTAAGCGCGTCCGCGCGGTGTGAAGTCAACCACCAGCATGGCGCGGGCCCCGTCCTTCCCTAGCGTGACGTCACGTGCAAGACATGTATAATCGAGCGCGAAGAGAAAACACATTTGCGTTTTCCCATTGGAACGCATTACCGAAGTCAAATTTCGACTGGTTGCTGTCTGCTTCAAAAAGCAAAACAGCACACTAGCGCCACCTCAACCTCTAGCGTTTATTGTTAATAACTCCATGGCAGCAACCACCACTGTGCACTGCACAGCTCTGAGCGACGTCTAATGTTCGCGCTGCAGACTTACCTCATGTTACACGGTGCCATCAAACGAACCGTATACTGTCTGTCTTTTGGAAGACGGAGCCTGGGTATTTTCAACGGATCGAAATCCGGAGGATAGTATTTCTGTAGGAAAAAAGGGAGAGCTCATTGTAAAGGAGGACACTGCAACAGAGTTCGGACCACTGGAGGGCACGTCCCATTGCCGTTTAGGGTGGCAGTATCTCGTTACAAACGATACGAAGATCGAAACTTAGTACTTACGTTTAATACTTTTCGCTCCGACATTGTTCAGATGGAGGTTTACTTGATTTTATTTGGTGCAAACTGGAGCGCACGAAAAGTACCACCACCAAAACAACAGCAGAACGGCAGAGCCAGAGTCAAAGCCAAAGCTGCGGAATCAGCCAGAATCAGCAGTGCTAATAGAATGATGTCTGACTGTACTCTTTTGTATTAGGCGGTAGCTTGCGCCACCTTAGAGTTATTTATTAGACTCAATAGCGTTTGGCACGGCTCTCCGATCTTGGAGAGATGCAGCGTATCCAACTCAAACAAAACGTTTGAGAGCGAGTGCTTTCACAATATATATATAAACACAGATACAATAAAATTTATTAAAAATGGGGAAAATCATGTTTTTTTAAGCTTTCCGCTAGGTGGTACAGATTACCGCCCGTTACAAAGATTACAGCTGTTGATATCTATCTATTCGTCCAAAAAGCCGCTGGCCCCGCCTTTTTTTTACTTTTTTTTGCTCTTCTACTTGTGTGTACGCAAGGACTGTCATACGACGGTTTTGCGGCGAGTTTTAACGCAAAATACACTAACTTATTTAGCCCACAATGTCGGACGACAAAAAGGTGAGCCCCTCCCAGCCATTACGCTCAAATTTCACGCTCTCTAAAAGCGCGCGGGTTCGAGCGCTCGCGATCAATCCCCGACAAACTGTCGCATTGTGCCGCTGTTTAGATTAGGCTTAACACCAACCCCGCGAACTCCTCTGTAATCCGAGATACCGTTTTACTGCCTGCGGTAGCGCGACCATTTCGTCGTTTCGCTTGGAACACTTGCAAAACCGTCTCGCTCTACCTCGTCGTTCATACAAGTTGTACTATATGCTGCGGAAGTTTGCGAGTGCTGCTGTTGAACGTAAAACGCCGACATTTGGCGCTTTTTTTTTCCCTCGTGTTCGCGTACAGGATGTTAAACCCGACAATGAACACATCAACCTGAAAGTCGTGGGCCAAGACGGCAGCGTGGTTCATTTCAAAATCAAGAAGCACACACCATTGCGGAAACTCATGACGACGTACTGCGACAGAGCGGTAAGTTGCACGCTCGGCTTAACGATGCCGGCATTCACCTTTTTTTTTTTTTTTTTTCTTTCCTCGTAATATTTGATTGTCAGTTATTTGCTCTGCCTCTTTTTTTCTCTCTTCTTTCGTTAACCGCTGGTGGGTTTACTAGCACAGCTTTGGTCGTGTAACCACCCTCGATGCATCTCGCAGCGCTATTTCGAAACATTGTCGACCCATGACGGAGTCACCTCGCGATGTCGCACCGATATGTCCCTGAGCGACAAAAAATAAAGAAATGTGGCTGTCTTCGCGATTTTACTTGAAACTAAAACCAACCGCCAGTTGACTTAGTTAGGTTATATTTAGTTTCTGAAGCAGTGCTAAAGGGGTCAAACTGGAGAATTGGGGGGGAGAGTTCACTCACCTCACACTGTAGTAGTATAGGGAGTATTCACTCGCGGACATTGCTGTGTGTGCGCGACTGCTGACCTCGTGCTTCAACAGTTCACTTGTAACCTGCATTCAACACCATCAAGAGTGCCCGTCTTAGCAGCCTATTAATGTGAGGAACAGTAATACAAAAAATGCATCTGCAAAGTTAATAAAAATATCTTTATTCACCATGTAAGTATCAGGGAAAAAATACGCTGGAAAGTTGTCCCACAGCCGAATGAGAAGCGCGCTCTCTCTTTCTCTTCTTACGGCCTTTGCAATTGCCCGGGAGTCAATAGCATTTTTTCTCCGTATGTGGTTCACTTGCTTGCCGCCAGGGGCGCAACCACCTCACCCCACTTCACACCACTCGGAGAGTCCCTTCGAGCTGCTTTGCGCTGGTGTTCGAGCATCGTAGGGTGTTGTTTTGGCAACAGTTCCTCAGAATACTTCTGATTAACCATGCAAAGACGGTCACTGACAGAAACGAAATATCAGCGGGATATGTGCACAAGCCCACGAGGAAGCACTTTAGGCTTTAATAGGCACTGTGCGAAAATTGTACAAACTACTACACCCTCGTCTAGAGGGTGTAGTAGTCTTCATGTGCGACCTATGAAATGATGATGCAGACCACGGCAATAGATAGATTGGGCCTGCTTACATTTCACGAGAGTGTACGAATTATTTATCATTTAAAGTTCCTCCACGTAGAAGGGGTTCGTCTCCTCCTGTTTTTGAGTTGCAACAGAAGTCCTGGAGGTAAAGACGAGTATAGCTTTCCGCAATTGCCTTCGCTGTCTCTACTTATACTGCTTTTTACTTCCAAATCTCTCGGATATGTGCGTCACATTTGGGCTCATCAGAAGCGCATTAGATAGTGGCTGAGGGTCTAAACGTAAGAATCGGGTATCAAAGGCTATAAACATCTCGGCTGCAAGTTGCGACAGCGCTGAGATCCGCTGTCAGACGCGCTCTGTGCAAACGGCAAAGGGTAGCCCAGGGGTGAGGTGACAGCGCCCCCCGCGAATTGTGGCGGGAGGTGGCGATTGCCCCAAATGCATAGGCCGTAAGAAGAGAAAGAGACTGCGTGCTTCCAGTCGGGCCGTGGTTGTCCAAACAGCTTGACTGCTACTCGGCCCTCTTCAACTACAAAGAAAACAAATTGGTTTTTAGTTGTTTATACAGCAGGAGTTTAGCCTGCCAGAGCATGGCGACATTGATACCTACTGTAGATAAGAAATTTAGCCAGTGCAGTACAACTGCTAGCCTGGGGTCTTCAATGTGCACCCCGCAATAATGCTACACGACCGCACGCCGGTGCGATGCTCATCCAGGTCGAAACGGGCAGGGGTGGGGATCGAAACCAGGATCCCTGGGTTCTGCAGTGCAAGCTTTTGCTCCGCGTGCTACGAACTGGTGTGTGATAGCCCACTCGGCCACCGATCTCCCTCTTCAAGTACAAAGTAGGGAGTGAATCAACGTAACTAAAAAACTGTCACAAAAAAACGTGTCACTAGCATTGACCTCTTCTAATGCATACCTGCCAAATTTCCCGTATTACCTGGGAGGCTCCTGAATTTTGACCAATTTGGATGGTTGTACGATTGACAGGAAAACCTCCCGGAAAACGCAAACTAAGTATAAACCGCACACAAGCGATTTGGCGAGCGACAGCAACTTGCTTTACTGTCGCTTGGCTAGTCACGCGACGAGGCAAACCGCATGAAAGCGGCGGGACGATGAGCGAAAGTGGGAAATCTCTGTGGATCATCGCTGACCTTTGTTGCTGTCGCCGTCACTCGTCTCATTGCTCACTAAATCGCTTGCATGCAGTTCGCTTTTAACCCCCCTCCCCGTACAGGGAGGTTTTGCCATCGCAAGAAACGGCTGCAATGATAGTGAGGCTCAGCTCTATCTCGCTAGCATGAGCAGTGCAATATAAATGTAATAAAATTGTCTTTATGTACAGTCGGGGACAAAAGTCTCCAGGACGCGCGAGCTGCGACTGAAACGCATTGCTCTGCCATCTGCCGGCGGGTCACCTGGTTTCGAGATCACACAAAAGCGCATGCGCATCCTACTCTGCCTGCAAACATGTGTGTTTTCCCGCTCTTCTGTGGCGCGACGTCTAACTCCGAATCGGGCGCATGGTACCGCCTCGGAAATTGCACTTGCAGCTGACCAGGGTCTGCTACACATTCCGAAACTGGAGATACCGCCTGCAGCATTGCGCCGTATTTCGCCATGTCAGCGCACCTTGGTTTATAACCAGTTGAGCTTATCGCTCAGTTGAGCTGCCGTGACTTGTTGCTTTGTAGGTGTCATGTCAGTAAGCGCAGATGATTCCGAATTCGGCGCCGCGCCGCAGAAGGGCAGGAAAACAGACGTGTTTGCAGGCACAGTGCAAACACGTGCCTGCAAACACGCCCATTCTCCCGGATTTGGTCTCTCCAAACTTGGCAGGTATGCAAATGGCTAAACTGAGCTTATTTCTGGACATTATCAGGGTTTCCACGGGTCCTTCAAAACCTTGAAGACCAGAGAATTTGAAAACAGCCTCTTCCAGACCTTGAAAGCCCCGGAATTTCTAGTGGTACTCGAAAACCCTGGAATTTCCCAATAGCCAGTTTTTTTGTTTTTTTTTACAATACTAAAATATATATATATATTTTTTTACATGTATGTTAACATAAATTTCAACGAGGAAGTTTTTTACATGGCACATATAGACACATTGAGGGGGTGCCTGTTGAGCGCCTGGCCGCTATGGTAGCAGTCCCGGTGGTTCCAGATCCGGTCTCGCCTGTCCGCTATCTCGCCCCTCGTTCGCATTGTTTGCTAGCTATTTCTGGTTTGTTTTTTCCATGTCTGTTTTACGCTACACATGGTGAACATAGTTTAAATTGTGCGCGATGCCCGAGAATTGCAACTTGCAGTGGTTGTGGCTGAGTCATGACGACTACAGACACCAAGAAAGCATATGCAACAAACAACATCACCTGCATTCTCGTCGTTTTCCTTAGCCTGTTCGACTTGACATTGTGAAGTCGAACAGCAGAAGGAGAATGGCGAAAACAAAGATGCAAGAACTTCTAAACATCTAACAGGAAATGAAGGAAAAGCTGCAGTAGCTCTACTGAACCCTTTACTAACACCTGTTTGGCGAATACCCCCCCCCCCCCCCCAATTAAAATCCTGGCTACGTGCCCGGATGAAACACTTTGTTCTTGGCTGGATCTAGTAACATATGAATGCACCTCACTTCTAACATTGTGTTATGTACAGTACAGTGTTTTTTTTTTTAATGTTTTGTAGTAGACGAATATTCTACGAACGTTATCTTCGCTCACTCCGCAAGGAGCAAATGAGATCTCTCTCTTGCAGTGACCAAAATCAGACCCCCAGCATCATAAGCAATTGCAGGAGTTCTGTTTCTTTCTTTTGTGACCAGGGCCTAAGCATCCAGAATGTCAGGTTCCGGTTTGATGGGCAGCCGATCAACGAGACGGACACGCCGGCGGGTCTTGACATGGAGGACGACGACACCATCGACGTCTTTCAGCAACAGACAGGCGGGTGCTGGGACGAACACCCAACGCAGCCCCGGTTCCCCGGAACGGCTAGCGGGAAGAGCAGGAGCGCCGCGACGCTTTGTACATAAGAGGCGGAAGGACGAGATGAATTCGACATCTGCGGAAGAGGAGACACCACAGCTACGCTTCTGAAGTAATGCATCAGGAGGTTTTTTGAGGAAAATCTGTTGGGGGGGGGTTACCTCTCCGTGCGTCTCTTTTCATTTTCTTCAGTGTTCTTTTTTTTTTTTTTTTGCATTATTTTGCCCTTGTTTTTCTGTACAGTGTTTTCGTGGCTCATTAAACATACGTGGAAAATTTGAGCCTTCTAACCTTTATTTCGGCCACTCACGGGTGCGGGTTCCTTATTTTCTTGTCGTGTTCTCCGTGGCCGTGCAACGAATAAATATTTTCTTTCCCCATTAGGTTTTTTTGATGGGGGGGAAAGGAAGGGGGGGGGGGGGGAGATGAGACTTGGTTTTTCGTGGCAGCGTGCAGTCGTCTCCATCCGGTGTCGGACTTGCAACTGGCATTCCTTAACACCGTCTGCCATCACTCCCTGCTGTTTTACGCGCAGTTAAAGCTCGTTACAGCAGACCTTGATAGTGAAGATTCTGATCCGTTGTAAAACGAGTATGCAGAATGCAGATACTCTTGCTGCAGACTGACGTGCATTATTACTGGAGTCTGTTCTAACCAGCGAGGCTGACGTAATCTGAATGGACAGTAGAAAATAACTGGCTTATTGTCACTCCTAAGCTTTGAAGGGCATTGATTTTTTATTGAGCTGTACTAAAAACTGGCATCACCGTGCGCTTTAGGTCGCACGAGGCTACAAGTGAGGTAACAGCAGTCCGTAAAATGGGCACCATTGCTAAAGAACCAAAGCCACGTATTCTCCTCTATAACTGAATTGTTTTCTACATACAAACTCCCTAATATAGTCCATAATACCCAAATGTATATTAATAAAGGAACCTGTAATAAGCAAAGTTGGCTCAATGGCATAGATGGGAGGGCCAGCCAAACTTCACCAATGGACTTCTTCCAAAACCGACGCGCCCCATTGCGGCGAAATACCACGCAGTCCACTCTGGGAACTAATTGGCCATTCAGTTTCGGTTTCGACTGAGCAGCTCCATCTCAGCTATCGGGCCGCGACTGAACGCATTGCTTGCGTTTTCGATTATTTGACTTTTCACAAACGTGCAATACACATTCTTGAGCGATACAAAACGAGAACCGGGACACTTTCCTTGGTTCCCGAAACACCGAATATTATGAGTGCGTATGCAAACGTAGTAATTAAGACGGGGCTTAGCCACCTCACCTTTGAGTTCAATTTCAATAATCCCGTCTAGTATCAGTGAACTACAACTGAAATTTGGTCACCTGGAGCCTTACACATATTTTGTTTGCTAAACGTCCGCTTCTTGTTACTTCATTGGGCGAAAAGCAAACCGCATCCTCGCAGGAGTATCAAATTTAAACCCAGCGTTGACGCATGAAAGTTTAAGGAAACGCAATAAATTCGACCTCACTACCGCACCAAAGTTACTACGATGTCTTCCTCGTGTCATCATATATCTCGCACTCAAATTTTATGCTGATAGAAGATTAAGTTTTCACAAACGCTGAGATCGGCTAGCTACGACGGAGGCCCTAACAAGCGTCCCCTATTCCTCGCTAAGCCTTTTCAAACGAGCTTTTACTGACGCCCAAGATCTGTGCCCGAACGGTGTGTCTGAAATTTTTTCGTCATACTCGGGTAGGAAGAAAGCAAACACATAAACAAATATTATGGTCATTATCAACCGTCAAATGCACTTTGAATAATTTTGTTCGTTTGGTAAACCGCATAGGGGTTCATGCCCGTCCGGCGTACTTCCGGCGAACGGTGCGACATTTTTCACACAAGTGCTCGACTTTTGCTTTCTTAAAACGGTTTGTATGTGCGAATGTGCCTATATGATTGGCAGGATAACGTTATGCACATACGCGATGTTGAATATTAGTAAAATGCAAGCAGGTGGGGACTTCACTTCGTGCAGTGCTGCGGGTCAGTACAGATAAGAGATAAGAAGTGTGTTATAATTGAACTTTTCAATGGCGCCTCCGAGTTTTACCTCGTGTACTCGGGCGTATTAAGAAAACAGTAATTGCAAAAAGTAATATTTAGTCTATGGACGCACAAAACAAACAAACTTCCTGATCAACAACACTAATGTAAAGGCGCGAGCTTCATGTATGCATACTAATTGGTTGCTACAGCTTGTTGATTCGTACATAAGCAAGATCCCCGAGCTTCGCAGCGTCGACATTCCCAGCACTGGCTCGTCCACCATACCTCAAAACGCTAACAGAAAGGCTCAAGTACAAAAATACAACAAGTATGTGTTAAGACAAGCTATACGTCTCGGGCTTGTGCTAAAGCTTCGAGGTGTGGCCATTTAGGTTAGTTTAGAGACTACAAATGACGCTCTTGGGACCAGAAAACATGAGATAACGGCCGTTAAGGGGTATTCACACGAGGGAGAAATCCCGGGGATTTCTCCCCGGCACGCGCATCCCACGACGAAAACGTCAGGCTTTGCGATGTGTAAAAGCCTCGCGTTTTCATCTCGTGATGCGCGCGTGCCGGGGAGAAATCCCCGGGATTTCTCCCTCGTGTGAATACCCCTTTAATAGTCCACGCTCTGTGCGTAATTTCTTGTCGACGTGTCGATCGAAACCGAAACCATTCCACTGTCCTCCCTGGCCAACTAGTTCCCAGAATGCAACGCGCGCCATGTTGCATGCAGGGCTTTATGGAAGTAGTCTATTGGCACATTGTAAACGAATGTCTGCTGTAACCAGATCTGTAGCAACAAGGTTATACCATAAATCTTCGTACCTTCCGCAGATGCTCAAACTTTCCTGTAGTCGCAGCCAAGATGGGAACAGTTGTCCCGCCTCTCTGAGCCGAGGCACCAGGGTCTTGCTGGAAGCCAGACATGCGGAAAAGATGCCCCGCTGTTCTCATTCTATCGGTGACCTATGGTCTTTGCAGTGCTGCAGTAGACGAGCAACTGAGTAGGCTCTCCCTCCCCTTCTATGTGAACATTGGCGATACAAGTGTGAGCGAGCAAATATCTTTGGGGCCAGAGAGTCATTTTCAGAGACTGTTGGGGACCAGCGTTCTGGTTCCTTAAGCTGTGGAAGCTATGTAGCCCTTACTGTCGTGGACGATCGATTCTAGCCGCCGATTTGCCATACGCAAGGGTGGTTTCTTTATCAAGCTGCTGAGTTCTATGAATTCACCAAATTCGGCGGGCGTTGATACCATAAGGGCGCTACAGTATTTGGTGCCCAGTAGACTTTCGGTAGTGAATTTATTTGTTCTTCAGCAACACATAGTGGTCGGATAAGACTTTCCTTTGGAAAAGTACCTGCACAAATTGTAGAAAGTACAAACAACAAAAGGATGCAAGACTAATGAAAAACAAGAGTGCCAGAAGAGTACAGCGGTCCACCAATAGGGGGCGGTAGCAAGCTTTTTTACAAACAAATTGGCGAATAGGTGCAGTTCCACTGACCATATTTTGTTTGACTTGGCTTCCACTAAAACCAATATTGCTAATTGCAAGTGAAATTTTTTGTTAAATCTTTCCTTGCTATGGGATAGCTTCTACAATCTTGTTTGTACATTTGTTGGCAAGATGGTTTCAACTGCCGTCATATGGTGGGGGAATTTCTCCAATTCTTTTGTAAGTTGAGCCTTGCAGGCTCCATAATAGCGAGACTTTGGTTGCTGTACAAAGTGACTGTTGAAGTGATAGCATTATCACAAGAAAAAAAAACAATGAAACTACAGGACGTGCAGGTCCATCTGGGGGGGGGGGGGGTGCAATATAGAACAACATACTGTAAATGACTTAATTTTCGTGAGGACCTAATTATCGTGAGTCGCCTACAATTCACGAAAAATAGGTCCCACAAACGATTCCGGTAAAATGTACACACATTAGAATCTATATTGAGATCCCACCGCGTCGCGAAAATTAGAACTTGGAGAATTAGAACAAAACTTCAGCTTTTACCTAAGTCCCGACATATTGAGCCCACGAAGAATAAGTCGTTTACAGTATGGAACATTAGACAAAAATAAACAACAAAGGGGGAAAAAACATTCCTGGCCAAGCAGTGGCCACAAAAAAAAAAAAAAATCTTGGTTACCTATTCGTTATGGATGACACCGCATTTCTGAAAAGATCTGGGTCACTGATGTGATTTATGTAGTCCAGCAGGTTGTTCCATTCTACAGGGTCGTCAAGATAAATCCGGAAAATTCAGCATATTCAGGAGAATGCGCAGAGGCAAAGATAAAATAACGATCGACCGCTTTCTGTGCGTTGCTCGGTCTGCCGCAACATCTTTCTGGTCGACATGTTATCTGGACATCTTGACAATGCTGTAAACTTGTATGTTGTAGCCATACCACGCAACGATTTGCTTAGGCAACTTTCCGCCGCGAAGCGATTAAAGTATCGCTGCCCTTCGGTTGTATTTCCTGCTAATTTTTGAGCAAGTCTCGAATTGTTTATCATGCAATGGTCCGCTGTCGAATCGTGGCCACAGAAGCGCAATATGGCCGGTTGGCTTCACTCTAGTTGACGGACGAAATCTGAAGAGTCTGGATTCATCTCGACGACCCTGTATTATGGCAAGTGGAAGAAATGGGTTGTTACAAGTGATGGTGGAACTGGGAAGGATGCAACATACACCAAGAAAGTTAAAATGGTGTTGAGATGAACAATTGGGGTCTGGCAACAGATTGTCGGGGTTGAGGGTGGTAATAAAAAAAGTTTATTGGCGAGTCTGCAGCGAGTATTGTGTGGGGAAGACGAGAGAGGGGGTTTTCATTGCCGACACATTAAGATGAAACGAGCGGCTTGATTTTGAATGAATTCTTAAGTGTTACCAAATTTGATGGGGAGACCAGATGGCAGCTGCATACTCTATTTTCGGACCTACAAAGGTTTCGTAGGCCTGCTGCCACAGAACAGGGAGCAGAGTGCAAGCAACATTGGAAATAACCGAGGGTTTAGGAGCTTCGGCAGACATATTGTCTTTGTGGTTAGTCCAAGAAATATAGGAGAAAAAATATACACCGAGGTATTTATACGATTGAACACACTCGATGGTTTCTGTGCCTAGAGAATATTGAAAAAGGGAAGGGGAAGGTTTACGAGAAAAACAAACTTGCACTTTGAGTGATTTAGTGACATTAGTCACTGATCACACCATTCGGTCACACTTTAAAAATCGTCCTGGAAAATAAAATGATTGTTAGTGCCCTCGATTTGGTGATAGATTACACAATCATCGGTGAACAGACACCCAATAAGACGTTGGTGATGTTAGATTCTAATGTGTTTATGACTGTATATTAAACTTGATGGAAGGAAGCTGCCAATCAAACGTTAAGGAAATCATATTTGTTGGGACAGCTTAGAGACGGGAGGTGGAGGTGAGGAACACGGTCAAACGCTTTAGGAAAATGGCGTCCATTTTAAACTGTGAATCAAGGTTAGTGTGCAGGTCCTGCGAAAATTCAAATAGTTGAGTGCCGCAGGAATAACCCTGGCGAAAACCACACAGATTTTGGGAGAAAAAGTTGTTACAGGTTTTGTGATTCATGATGTTAGAAAAGACGATGTGCTCCAAAAGTTTAAAGGCTACGTATGTGAGCGCCATTGGACGATAATGACCAGAGTTAGATCGATCACCGCTTTTAAAGACGGGAACGACACGGCCTATCTTCCAGTCCATTGGAACTTGAAAGCCACTGCGTCCAGCGACGAAAGGGTTCAGGCAGGAGTGTCTCCGGGGCAGTCGAAGAGGGATGGACTTGACAGACTGGCGGGTGGGGTCATTGAAGGGAGCCAGGAGTACCTGAAGCAGATGAATGGTTCACATGACAGTTCCAGCGGTAATGTCGTGCTCCGACTGGAAGGCGGATCAAGCGGGCTTTTGCAGATGCTTGTAATGAAGGTCACATGATGTCTCTGATTGCTAGACACCGAGATGGTTGAATTCCAGGTTCAGCGGGGTGAAAGTCTGGCCGGCTTGTAGTAGCGGTTTGAAAGCCACTGCGTCCAGCGACGAAAGGGTCCAGGCAGGAGTGTCTACGGGGCAATCGAAGAGGGGCGAACTTGACAGACTGGCTGGTAGGGCCACCGGAAGGGTAGCTGCCAGAAGTACCTGTAGCAGATGCATGGTTCGCATGACAGTTCCAGCAGTAATGTCGTGCCTCATCCATGAAGCAAAATATTCCGATAAACTGGAAGTGGGCAAATGAACTGGAAGTGGGCCACCCGATAAAAAAGGCATAGCCAACACCATCCATCCATCCTTCCATTGCAGGAGTAACTGGAACAACAGTTGTATTAAGAGTCCAAGCAGCCCTCCAGACCTCCGGTATCCAGCAAACATGCAATGCCCTGAAACATAGGCACGAGCATTTGTAACAATAGTTTTATTTACAGTGGCTATGTACACTCGATTCACTCCACGAGCACTCAGTCTTCATCGGTCCGTTGTCTAACGTTTCTCGCCGATCTGCCACCAATCTTGCGCTTCTTGAAGACCGAGTCACCTTCCCCGCACGACTCAACGCTGCCCACGGTTTTCTCGAGGAACTTTACCTTAGTGGGAACGTCCTGACTGATGCTGATGACAACTTCCTCAACGTCCTGTGGCTTCTCTGGAAGCTGCAAATCGATGTCCGGCATCACTCTGAAACGGTTGTACAAGCGAGGAGCCTTGCACTGTCAAAGCTGTTTGGGGCAATGGTACAAAAGGGCCTCTGGGCTGGTTCACGCACTTGCGACTGCTTACAACCGAGCGTCCTAAAACCACTTGCGATCTCTTACAACCAGAGAACAACACTGGCTCCTATTTACCGGTTAGCGCGCAACACTCACGATTTCCGTGTATTTACCATTTTCTTCGCACATCATTCTTCATCGGCTCAAAAAACGATGTGATAAACAACCATTTCTCTTTTTGATGGTATGTAGATTCAATCTTGAGAATACTGCAAAACTTTCCCTCTAGTGAGATGCAGTTCCAGGGCCACTATGTTCTCTCGTTGGCAAGAGATTGCAAGAACTTCGTCGTAAGTGCACGCAAGTGCACGAACAGGCCTTTGATCCAGGACTATCTTCTGCGAGAATTTTCAATGCACTTGCAAAAGTGCAAAGTGCTTGTCTTGATGAAAAACACCAGTGCATTCTCTCATCGTAGGCAGTTAGAAGCAGGCACAATCAAACGCAAACGAGTAAACCAGCCTTTCCGCTTTCCTTAATAGAAATGGAATGCTACTTGAGTACTAGTATACGAGCTGTGAACTAAATGCAGTGAACGCAGACGATGACATGATGGCAAAGAAAGTCATAGACCAGAAAGATATGGTGCTTGGTTATGGATGGAAGGACCTAAGGATGGTAAAGTAAACCTTCGGCAGACTCACTTGGGTTTCACTTCTTCCCAGTCTCCGTAAGGGTTACCCCGTGGTTTTGGGCCCGTTACACCTTCGTCCTCCTGTGTGGGAAACGTCTAAGGCAAAAAAAGGTGATTCGAGTTAGATCTTGTACAAACGGCTTTGGCGAGGCTCGTGGGTGCGTTCTAAGAGAAGGTAAAAGCTGCGCTGAATAAGACTAAGGGCACCAACCGTACGATCGTCCACATCGGAGACGACCGCCTGTTGTTCCGCGAGAGAAATGTATCCCGACGTTGGTTTCTCCCATATCGACTCTGCAAAGGCAAATTGCGAAAACAAATCGCTTTTGGTCCTTCTACACTCCATTTCACTGTATGAACTGCTGCAGACTCTACCAGCCGTTCCAGCCAATCCAGAGTTCCGAATCTGTAGCGCAACCGCGCGACCCACGCATCGCAGAGCCCCCCTTGAAGGTGTTGCGTCGCTCGCAGAATAACGGATTGGCTCCGATAGCTCGTGGCGTCCACTGCAATTCAGCTCGTGCTTAGCAGACGCCAAGTGGCTGGCATGGAATTTTCACCTCCTGATTCGCTGTTCCAGTAGTAGGTCTCGCCTTCTGGCGACGTGGCTTCGAACCATGTCTTGACTTGGCTCGAGGACGTGCTCTCTGCCTCCTCCTGTCTCTGCTCAGCTCGTTCTTTTAGCCTGGCCTGCTCGGCCACGTACTGTAGCTTGGCTGTCTTGGACCCGCCGGTTTCGACGTCCCGCTCGAACGCTTTTAGCGCCGCCTGCGCGACAAAAATGTTGCTACGGTTCCTTCTGCTTGTGGAAGGAAGAAATGCTAGATTGGTTGCAGCAAGCTTGAACAATGCAAAATTTGAGAGAGCAAGCATGAACAATGCTAAATTCGTCAGAGCAAGCTTGAGCAGTGAAAAACAAGTGGTCTTAATTGGGTCATAAAGAGGACCCTCCTGGCAAAGTCTCAAAACGTTAGCTGATATTAGCTGACACTTCACTAACAGAAAGAGAGAGAGAGAGTAAGGGAAATTAAGTGTTGCGAAAAGCTTGGCTAGATCTCCTAGCAAAAGACTGGCACATGAAGACTGCCTATATTTCAACTGCTAGTTGGGTGATGTCCACCCAGAGTTTTCAGATTTTTTACGAAAAGGTCAGTACTACCATCCTTCAAATGATGAACATGGTTGCATTGATTTTTTTTTTATTGTTAGTAATTGACCAATTGAACTTTGTAGTCATTGGTGATAGAAGGTTGTGTTGTTGCATCACTCGAACGTGGCACTCACCTGATTTATTTCATCCATCATGTTCTCATAGTTCTGCTGTGCCTTGTACATTTTCTTGCCCTTTTTCATAATCTGCAACAAGTTAAGAAAAGCAACAAGTTTCTGAAAAGTTGTGTTATAAAGCTGTACCAGACATGCTAAGGCAGATTCTTTATGGCATCATCAGCTGTAACCTCATCTAAACTAGATGTTCGTAAGTACCGAAAACATAGTTTCATTGCTTACAGTATCATGCAAATTGATTGTCACCAGCATGAAATAGTAAATTGAGGAGACCTTTGAGGTTTTACTTAAATGCACTTCCATGGGTCTCGATGACACATTGCAGCCAGACGGAAAATTCCTAAAAAAAGTTATAACAGTTCCATATTGTAAACCAAGACACGGCAATTGTATTGCTTTTTTTATTGATTAAACCGTCAGATACAAATTCCATTTTACTTAACTCTAAGCGTTCCAGGCACGAGCATAGCAACAGCCTTGCTTTGTACCGTTTCTTCTTTGTTTCCAGTTTTTTTCTTTAAAGCTTTCCCAACTGATGAAGTCTTTTTGAAGCAACTGAGTGTCCTCTCTCCTGCCTTTATTATTTTTTTTTAATTTCTTTTACGGTTGCATTTAGTGGCTGGCAGAGTTTGCGGCACGGGTGTTTGGCAGCTGGGCCAACTATCTTCGACTGTGGCTTTTCAAGGCGAAATCAGTTGAGTAAAGCTATACGCACTATGTCGTGCACCTCAGCCGAAAATGGCTATACGTACTACGCAGAGAGCTTATGCCATTTGGGTTACCCTTTTCCGACGGCGCATGTATCAATGGTGAGTGCGTTAACCCCCCCCTCACCCCACGGCTGCGTTCACGCCACTTCGTGGCAACAGTGTGCGGCTGGTAATTACAAAACTTGACCGATACACGCCGCTTCGCGGCGTCCAGCCGACAACCCAAGCCCCGCTGTCCTCGATTGCACCTAGAGAGTCCGATACCATTTAGTTATGCAAAGTTACATCGACAACATTCGTTTTTTTTTGTTTTTTTTTTTTTTTTTCAGTGTTAATTGTAAAAAAAAAAAAAACATGTCCTAAATATTGCCAGATGCTTAAAAAAAAAAGGTATTGAAAAAAAAAAAAAAAGTATGCCCACCCTGAGGATTGAACCGAGGTCAGCTGCATACGAAGCACACACCTTACCACTATGCTATGCCACCGCTTCAGAAAGTCATCGCAACCATTTGTTTTATAAGAGTTTTGCGTCATGCGTACAGCCATTTCCGGCCGAGGTGCACGACGCAGTGCGTATAGCTTTACTCAGAAGAGTTAGCTTCAGTAAGAATGCAATTCTGCCTTAGCAACAGGTATACCGACTACACACGTCATCTCGAACACGGGCTTGGTTTGAGACGGTACATCTGTATGTTCATTATTTTATTATTCACTCGCATCCGGTTAAAGTATGGAAGTCATTCAGTAGCTTGCCTGTGTTTTTCATTGTTTATTGTTACAAGTCTTTATTGAAAACAAAAAAATCCAGCCTTTCACACCTCCCTTTAATAACTTACGGCTATCTACTACTACCAAGATCTTAAAACGGTATGAATTGGAGTTGTTCTCACGTCTTTGATGCATTGCTGAACATTGGCTTGGTGGTTCTTGCCTTTCTCGTGGAAGTCGATGCTCTGTCATGTGTCAAAAGGAAAACAATAGGTTCAGGTGTGGCGTGGGGCGAGTGCCGTGCACGCTCGGGAAAGAGGGAGAAACGTGCGAAACTCACCGCCTTGTTGTCCGCAAACCAACATTTGCAGGCTTCGCAAAATTTCTTGGGCTGAGATTTCCAGTAGGTCGCCCTGCAAGACAGATACGCGAGCGCACAAGAAACGTACGTCGAGTTTCATGAATGCTCCGGTAAAATGAAACGTCTTCTAATAAGGATGTGTTGTAGGAGAGGTTCGGGCTTATACTTACATCTCTAAGCAGTATTTGAGGTGTACGGGGCTCTTTAAATATTAAAATTCAGGCACCTTGTCGCTCCCACACCCACGATACGCGCTTCCTCTGTGCGTTGGAACTGACTTGGCTTGGCCCACCTTGGCTTGAAAGTTGACTACTTTTTATAGATAATAATGGTTGTATTGTTCTTTGTAACGGGCGGCAACTTGTGCCATCCAGCGGTCCTGACAGAACACTTTTATTCCTACGTTTTTTCTGGTTTACTTGTCCCTCCAGAGGGCGCTCCATGCCTTCCACTGCCTATACAGTTACTCTATCCACTGCTTGCTCCGTGCCAGTGCTCCGTGCTTACCCGCGTGCGTGCGTGCGCTCGGTCCATAAGGTGTCCAAGTTGTCCAAGTCACCCAAGTGTTGTTGAAGGTAGGAAGCTAACGCTGGAGGCGGGGCAACCGAAGTCGTCTCAACCACTGATCTCAATGACAATTGCTGGATCGCGCTTCCCCGCTTGTTCGCTGCAGCGCAAGTGAAGCCACCGGGCTTCACTCGCTTGGGATACGATTTGCCGTTTTTGCTAGCCTTTGCTGCGGTTTTCCAGCGTGCTGACGACACGTTTTCTACTCGTTCGTCGTCATTCGCCGAAGAGGTTTTTTGAAGACTCTGTGTATTGTTGAGACTTTCCGTTGTGAACACGTGGAAAATTTTACGAAAGTGCAGTGTCGCAGGAAAAAGGCACAACGCGTCGAAAGGAAGGGCTGGCGGCGTGTTCAAAGCTTCCTTGGCACGCCGAAGTGCCGTGTCTCTGTGCCTTCGCACGCTTGGATACCGATCAAGAACCGACGCCGTGTGTATGTGTTCAGCGAGTGCAATGTGCGTGAAGCTGTTCGTGCCTCTGGATCAGTGTCTTTTCCTCTCGCGGTTTAGGAACGAGCTTAATCCAGCGTCCACTAGCGACGGAAGATGGGGAGAAGGTACGTCTTTTTTTCGTCCTTAGACGATTTACACAATACCGTGCACAACAGCTCCTCATCACTGATCAGTGCTGGCTTATTATCAACCTACTTAATTGCACTTGACGTTTGAGCGCGGCTCGCCTAATTGTAATTGGTCAACAGATTGCACACGACCATATCGGCCGCGCTTCAAAGATTTTCATTCTCGCCGTCTTGTACTTTTGCTTTCGAAAACCCCCCTGGCTCCACAACGTTGCCCTATTCGTGCTCCCACGGAATCTATTAGAGTAGATTTGGGACATAGACATGGTTAATATAGTACATAAGAACACGTACAGATCTCCCCCTCTTATTGATAGCAACTCACCGGAACAGCTGGACGATCCAGAACTCCGTGGCCGATATATATAAATGATCTAAAGGCATCTACGCGCGACACACGTTCAGAACTTTGGCGCGGCGTCAATTCTTGACCGGTATCCAAGCGTGCGAAGGCACAAAGATGCATCACTCGGCGTGCCAAGGAAGCTTTGATCACGCCGCGACACCGGCGACACGTTTTCGACGAGTTGTACCTTTTGATACGGCTTCACGCACATTGCACTCGCTAAACACATTCACACGGCGTCGGTTCTTGGTCGGTATCCAAGCGCGCGAAGGCACAGAGACACGGCACTTTGGCGTGCCAAGGATGCTTTGAACACGCCGCCAGCCCTTCCTTTCGACGCGTTGTGCCTTTTTCCTGCGACACTGCACTTTCGTAAACTTTTCCACGTGTTCACAACGGCAAGTCTCAACAATACACAGAGTCTTCAAAAAACTTCTTCGGCGAATGACGACGAACGAGTAGAAAACGTGTCGTCAGCACGCTGGAAAACCGCAGCGAAGGCTAGCAAAAACGGCAAATCGTATCCCAAGCGAGTGAGGCCCGGTGGCTTCACTTGCGGGAGCGGCAAGCGCGATCCAGCAATTGTCATAGAGATCAGTGGTCTCAACAAGGAAATCGCACGACCAGAGTACCCGAAACTGGGGTTACGGGCGCTTTCGATTATGCTTCCCACATTTTGATAATTATTAGAGAAGTCAACAACCTTTATTTCATCACGCATTTGTCTATTACCAAATCAAAGAGACGAGATTGGGGTTTCACTTTTAATAAAAAAACTTCTTTGGTAAAAAAAAAAAAAAAGAAAAACAAAAAAAAACATCAGATGCACATACACACATGCATAAAGATAAAAAAAAAAGTTTTCTTCAGAGTTTAGTGTTCTGTACCAATGGCCCCACCACATCCAGGAATAACTTGCTGAAAACTTCGTCCGAAAACCTTTCTGATGCAAGCCTTCCATTCACTTGAATGCAGTGTTTGTCAGCAGAAGGCATCTTCAGCAAGGTCTTGAACACATCAGTGTAGCTTCCAGCATCGTTTGCTAGAAATCCTGTTCGTCCGCCATTGTACTCTGTCACAATATCCAGTTTGGGTCCCCCAGAATCATGGGCAACCATGACAAGACCAGCAGCCATGCACTCAACCACACCTGCAAAAAAAAAAAGCATCTGTAAACAACACTATAGAAAACAAGGAAGGCAGAAGCACAGCAAATTGAGTGAAGAATAAAAAAACAGATACACTCGCCTATCCCAAAATGCTCATTCCACATGGTGTGAATAGCAGCCGACGCAATCTCCATCTCAGACTTGAGCTCTTCGAACGGAATGTTTAACTTGAACTCAACGTTTTCTTCGAGGTCCAGCTTGGCAGTTAGGTCCTTCAACGACTGAACTCGCTCTTCGTCTTCTCTGTTCCTGCAGCTACCCACAAGTACAAGCTTCAGCTTCCTGAACTCAGCTTCAGCAAGCTCACTCTTCAGTTGGTGGAAGACCAGCAACTGGAGCTGATGGTCTTTCTCCGGACGAAACTGGGCCAGCGACAACACCCTGAACTCCTTAGGCGTTGGATCATCGACCACCCTCTTAATCGTCTTGAACTCTTCAATGTTGCAGGGCGGGTAGACGAGGAATGTCCGCTGCGGAACTTTCCAAAGTTCCACAATGTGGCCCCGTGTCCAACTGGAGTTGACCATAATGACGTCAGCACGCCGTCCACAGAGCTTGTAGAGGCACGTGAATATGTTGTAGTAGACTAGTTTAGCCGAAGTTAGAAGCTGGCTACGAGAGATGGCGGAACTATTGTTGTGGGCAGTGGTTCTTTCTGCAACGCAAACGAGCATGTCGGTGCTGATTGTCGGGTAATGGACGTAGCAGGCCACTTGGCACCTCCCCAGAAGCTTAAAGATGGGCAAGGTGAAAGCATAGCCCATGGTGTCCACGTAAATCGTGGGAACAAACTTAAAAAGAGCTTCAAGTCCCAGGATCATTGACCCGATGCTTTGTCCCAGGATTGTTAGGAACGGGTAAGGCTTTGCTTCGACTAGGTTTCGGCACCGCAGGAAGACGAAATGCACTGTCGATTTGCTAAGCTTTATATTGAAGCGCTTGGCAGCGTTGTCAATAATGCTGTCGCCGGTGACGTCAGAATCTCCGGTGTACACAACACAGTGGTGGTCGGGATACCTGCAAAGAGAGCAGAACATCTAGACTTATATAATTTGAGCGACGTCTTTGATCGTCCTTGGGGTCAATGATCAATGTAAAAACATAAAAGATGAGACAAAAACACAAGCCGTTTTCGCTTGCAATAATTTAAGGAGCGATCATCACCTCTCTTGGACGGAGCGTACCGCGGCCCAAAGGACACGTTCACCGCCACCCCCGGCGTTGCAGTATGGGTGGAAAAAGCCCCAGATTGGTCGTCCGCCGGGGAACGCCCGATGACTTTCACTTTTAACCTTTCTCACCCACAAAACCAGCAGCAGTAGGGCGGCTGTGGGCACAGCCAAGAGAAAAGCGCAACACCACAACATGATCTCCACTGTGCTTCCAAACGGCGACTTCAGGAGGACATTTCTCAGTCTGGTGTCTGGCTAGAGCTCTGCCGAGCCGCTCATTATTTCTTTCACAGAACCGAAGTCACGGGGAATCTGCACGTCCGTACTGCGAACAAACCACACGCTGATCATTGACACCTAGCAACGCAAGCCGATTGATTACACGTGTGACTCTGAAACGGAAACAAGCACAATAAACACGAAATCGACTTCAGCGCCAAACAGGAAATTGTGGACGTCTTATGGTCACGTGATCCTTTGCTTTTGCGTTTTTCGGGTACCCTGCTTTGAACGCTAGTGTTAAACACGTGATAAATCCTTACCGCTTCAACTTTAAGCATCTGAACGTCACATACGCATTTTCGTCCCGTAAGTGTCATACTTTTAAGCCTAAAGTTTGAGGAAACGAATATTTTTGGTGCACTGTGGTAAAGCAAAGTGCCTGAGCGAGGGGCTCGAGAGCGGTTGCTGATTTGTGTCGGTCTGAGGCCGTTTGTGATTGATTTTCTGTCTGTGTTTCGCAGTATTATTGGTGCGCAAAAGCCTGTCAGTTTGATACAGGCGTCTAAAACGTTTGATTCGAATCGCGTTGCAAACCAGCGGACCCCGTATCGTCGGGCCAAAGTTCATTACGTAACTTTGCGCGGACTTCAGTCGGGGCGTGAGAGGGAAAATGGTACTGTCGCCTTGACTGATTCGCTACTCGTCAGCTGTTCGGAGCCGACGGAAGTAGGTGCTGAGATGGCTCTTTCGTGGTGCCTTTCGAGATGGAAACTGTGGATTCAGTTCGTCGTCGCCATCTCATACGGTCTGGTCATCTTGGTCGTGGTTCCACTGATCAGTGTCCAGCTGATGAAAAACGGAGCCAGCGCGGACGTTCAAGCGTGGTTCAGCAGCGGTGTTTTTGTGCTACTGACTCTCCCGATCACGTTCTGGGAGATCATTCAGCACATACTGAACTACACGAGACCTCATCTGCAGAAGCATATTATCAGGTGAGACGATGTCAACACCGACCGCACGGAGCATGTACGAGGATGACGTCATGTGGTCTGTTATTGTTGTGGTGAGGGAACCAGGCTCCACTAGATCTGCTACCAGTGATTTCCCTACACCCACCTACGGGGATGTACCCCCCCCCCCCCCCCCCCCCCCCTTAATTCCCCCTACAAATTTAGACACACCCCTAATTTCAATTCCTGGGGAAACCCCTGTCTGCTACTGTTCCTTATTCTTTATGTATGTATGTATGTGTGTGCGTGCGTGGGTGGGTGGTCTGTGCTATAAGGTCTTGTGAACCGAGTTATGCATAACCTTGACTGACATAGCAGTGTTGCTACTTTATTTTTGTAACACTGTATGACAGCTTTAACGTGGATAAAATGGAAAGGCGTTTTGTTGTCTTTGTCCTTTATGTTGCTTTCCTTTAATCCCTCTAACTTACCAACATGTTCCAATTCGTCGAGTCTTTAACATGGCTTTCTCCTTTTGCAGAATTCTGTGGATGGTGCCAATCTATTCATTGAACTGTGTAAGTTGGGACTTTGAGGCTTGTATCAAATACGATATAGCTTCGCCAATACTGGAAACTCCTCCGAAAACCTGTGGGAGCTGCGGCGAACGTGACAGTGGCGCCTCTAGCGGACTTGGAGTCTACTGAAGCGGACAACGCAATGGAAAAGTATAGGCTCCGCGACGTCCTTGAGCTTTGCGAGCCCCGTTTCTTCACCCCAAGAGCTGAAACAATTCATTACGGTCAACACGTTTGCAAAGCGGAATCCACTGATTGCAACTGCAACAACAAACAAATAACAATGCGCGCATGAACGAAGATAAAACAGTTTATTTAGAGGTCTCAAACGCCGCTCAGGGGATCACACGCGTTTAAAGCGCATCTGGGAAGCGGAAAAAAGCTGTTTAGCCAAACGTACTACGTCGTAAGAAGTTACTGTTTATCCGTTACAAACTGCGTTGTGACAATTTCTTACCTGAATAGGTGATTATTAAATTGTGCGCAAACAATATGTTAAAATTACCAGAGCAAGCGCACCAGTCTCTGCAGCATTACAAAAACAAAAAGTAACGAGAAAAATGACCATGCAAGCACTTTCCGAACTTTGCAGAAAAGATGTCCCCATCCCAGACGAAAATAAAAAGAAATGGAGAACAGTCGCGAATAACGGCCGGCGATTGCAACGCAGAAGTTAGGAGACGATACAAAAATACAAATCACCCAGCAAAGACCTTCCACGAGGACGATCGCACGGGGCGTCGGTTGAAAACTAGCAGGTGGTGCTCGCAAAGCAACAAGCAAAGCAGAAGATACACGACGAAACTATATAAAAAAAAAGAGCTTAACTTTTTTTTTTTCAGCTGCACGTTACACGTTTCTTTATTTGCTTTCGCGGCGTTGGTAGGAACTAAGAACAAAAGAGCTGCGATCTGCTACGTGCTAGCAGTGTGTGATCTTTTTTGCTTTCGCTTTTCTTTTCCCAGTGACTTTAGGAGGTTGTTTGTTTGCTCACTTGGCGCAGCAGTTCAAAAGTACAATCCAGCATACTTGTTGGCGTACATGTCCAGGCAATCCTTGAACACCGTGCCTTTGTTTCGAGTGTCGATCAGCGGCCTCAAGTGCGTTTTCAGCTGAACTTTTGTTTGGTGAAATATTTGGCTGTTGAGGCGTCAGTGGCGATTTTGAAGCCAAACTTGGATAGCTGTTCCAGTTTAATTTGAAGTAACTTAATTACTCACGTTTGTTCGGTCTTCGGGAAGCGGAAGAAGGATTTTCCACCACATCAGAAAAACTGGTTTTCGCAGTGGAGATGGCAGGCACATGGCACGACTGCCATCTCCAAGTATGCGCTAATGTATGCCCGAAGGCAACCGGTTGATCAACCAACGATGACTCAAAGCAGACGTGACCGCATACTCAAATAAAATCCAAATAGAAATGTATAACGAGCTTACATTCCTTAATATATTTATTAAGTATCAAAAAGTACATATAAAGATTTCGGATCAGAAACTCAATCGAAGGCGAACATAGGAGGTTATTATGGACGACAGTGGAAAAACAACAACAACAACAAAGTTGCAGACAGCCATCCAAATGTCCAGGCATAGCGTAGCAGACAAACCGGTGGTAGTGAGCGACGAAGCAAAGGAAAGAAAGTAAAAACTAAGCCAAACAAGGCAAAGTAAAATATGCGATGGTTCGATTGTCAAGTAAGCGCAAGAAAGAAAAATGCAAGCAAAAAACAAACGCAGGAGGAAGAACGACCGCGGCGGCGTAGCGTCGCCTCAAACATAAAAAGAAAGTAGACTTTGAAAAATGGAAGGAGGTGCACGACCGTCCATCGGCTGTTCTTTTTTGTAACTAGGCTTTTATTAGTTTCAGTAATAGCGTCAGATTTGCATGTGCACAGTCGTCTTTTTCCAGAGCATACTGACATCGCAGTAGGGTACGTCGTTTGAATTTGCCTTTTGCTTCTTTATCCGGAGACGATCGGGATATAGCCAGCTCGCTATTCGACGAAACGGTTTTAAGCAATACAATCATGAGAAATTGAAATTGCAACAACAAAAAGAACTGATTGATATGCACAATAAAGTTGAAACGTAGCAATGTTCTAAAACATTTTTTACATTACCATTTTCAAAGAAACAGGGCAAAGGTATACATTCGTGTCTTGCTTGGCAGACATAAGTTCTGAGTCTTCTGGCGGAATGTTTTCTTTGGGAGAGCCCGATAATTGCACCCTATAAGCTGTAACATCTTTCCCTCGCAAAGAAAATGTCCTTGACTCATGAGGTGGAACCTACTTTTTAACATTCAAAGCAGCGAATAACCGTAACAATTGTTTTTTATTGCTCACCTCGCACGGAGATAGGCAAAACCAACGCATTGTGGAGAATTCGTCTGCTAGCGGAGACTCCGAGCTCGCCAGGGGCACTGCGATCACTTTTCGCCCGTGATCCGCGGAAGTTGCCAGTATTGGCTTACATGGTATTTGCTTGTATCTTATCAGGGTCAGGCAAACGTCATGGTAAACTAACTTTGCCCATGAGGTTTGTGGTCAAGTCGAGTTTGTCCACGAGTTTGTTGTCCAGTGACTGCTTGGAGGTTCCAACCACACAGCATCTTTCACTCTGCATCTGTAGACATCATTGGTGGCATCATAACCCTGAAACACTGAGATATAAAATAACGGACAAAAAGACACAAATCCTCGTGCCTTCTTATTCATTATTTTACATCTTCATGTCTCGGGGTTTACATTGCAATGTTTCCTAACCAGCTCGATTGCACACTTCTGCTCCTGGCAATCATTGGTTCGGTTTTGTTTTGGTTGTATTATGGCATGTAGTGAATTTCCCGAGTTTTTTTTTTGGCTAGTTCAGAAAAAAAAAAAATGCTCCGTTGACAGCTGCTGATATGGGACTGTTTAAACGTACAACCGGGTAAAAATGTTAATGATCCCACTTTATCAGCATTCCTTCTGTGCTGTTATTGCACATGTTACTGTTGTGTTCAATTTTGTCAGGGAAAACTGTCACCAAGAGTGACCATAACAACATACTGTAAACTAGTTTATTTTCGTGAGCTCAATATTTTTGCAAATTGGTGAAGTGTGGGATTCGAAAATATTTGGTGGGCACCAACTTGCGCAATTTCAAGCGATATGCCATGTATTCATTACCACGGGCTGACATAGTCGTGCAATCAACTGTTTGTGACATTCTTAAGAGGCACAAATTCGGGAAACCTGGGTTCTTGCGAAATTAAGTGGTTTGCAGTAGCTGCCAAAGAGCTTCAGAAATGCCGTACCAGCACTAATGTTGTAATGATGCTGATAGCATAGATGCTTCTCTTCCCTCCTACCCTTAGAATGATTCTCGAGCTTAGGGGAGTCGGCAAGATCATGAGAAGCACTTCCACGGTCTTTCCAGTGGTTTGCCCTGACGTGGCCCAAGTCCGGCATCTACCTCGACACCATCCGAGAGTGTTACGAGGCGTACGTAATCTACAACTTCATGGTGTTCCTCCTGAACTTCCTCCACCGTGAGCTGGAAATGGAGATCACCCCGGACGAGCACAGACCCTCGGTCAAGCACATCTTCCCGCTCTGCTTTCTGACGCCCTGCCCGGGTGGATTGTGAGTCACGTTTGTTCGCGAATGCCGTCTTCGTTTCCTCAAAGGCAGCTTGTAGGCCGCCGGTATTTGAACGTTGGGGTGGTAGCGAGGGTCACATGGCTGCGGGACACGGGTCCTTAAACTGGGTTTTTACGGACCCAGGACTTCGCAAACCACCGATGTGACTTATCCAAGCTCCCAAATTTTCTTGACCTTCTCTGCCCCTGCGGAAAGTATATTTCCGTGTTAAGCACTGTTTTAGCTAGTGATGGGACGAATCTTTATCCGAATCGAGATTCGGAGATTCGGAACGATTCGGAAAAGTAGCCGAATCTCAAGCGATTCGGAAAAGTTTGGAAAGATTCGGAGCATTGCCATGGTTGCCAGATCACGTTGATGAGTCTTTAAACTTTTTGTGATATTAAATTCACTAAATTCTATGAAGTGCACAAAATAATATTGTAATATAATATCATAGTAATAAATAAAACGTTCCGCTTTGTTTATATTATCTTGGATGTTTGTCGAGAACCCAGCCAGACATCGTGGGAAAATTTAATTGGTTTCGGTTTCGGATTATGACCCATGCTTGGTGCACGTGGAAATACAAGTGCATGTTTTTATCGCCACAAGAGATGATGCCGTACATGCTCTTCGGTATTGACACATTTCATGTTTATAATTACCGTTATAGTGGCATACAACTGAGTATGTTCGATTCGATTATCTTCAACGTGTGTCCACTGAGGTATTATCGGAACAAGGGAAACAACCTGATTCCTGAAACTCCTTGCGCGGTACCCTGCGCTGCATTTCTACCCTTCTGGTTAATGATATCCGATTTAGTTAGTGTTTGTTTCGACCTTAGACACCCCTGTGTTGTTCCTTTTTCGTCAGATAAAGTTCACGTCCACAAAACTTGCTGCCAAGAACGGAGAAACGACAGTGCAAATTAGCTACATTTTTCTTCCCCACCGGTGCCGGTACGCGGTCGAAGTTGTTACGAACATTCATCTCGCTCTCGTGCCTTACAGGTACTGACATACGCAGCTCTAGAGATAGAAAAAAATTTCCTTGTCTGAATATATTTATTCTGCGTTGCGCCACATTATGTATACTATGCAGCATTTCGCCACATTTTACCGATCACCGCAAAACCGCACAGAAACCGAGACCGTGCATTGGTTAGGCCTACGTCAACCACACCCATCAGCTCAGCTGGATCTGGGCGTGTGCCAAGGTTTAGAATGACAATACAGTACATACCATACGACGTACGTTGAAATAAACAAGACGAAATCTGGTTATATGCAGTAACAGTACCTAAAAACAAACACAACTGACCGCGTTTGCGAGCTTTACGACAAGGATCACGCTGCCGTTGCTGCCGTCTTCAACCAGCGACGGATCGGACGAATCTCCGAATCTGCCGAATATTTGTCGCAGGAAGTTCGGAAATTTCCGAATCTGGGCGAATCCGAATCTCCGGTGATTCGTCCCATCACTAGTTTTAGCCGATCCGAGCCACCCGTCTGTGCACGTCTGTATGCCAGACACACTCTAGTATGTCCTGTGCTGTTTACAAGCTCTGTTGGCTCCTGCACTGCTTTATTGCATCAATGCACCTGTGCTGCTTTATTGCATCAATGCAGAGACTGGGGGAGGGGGGGGGGGGGGGGGGGGTTAATTTCTCAGTTAAGAAAGGTAAGGATTCCCTGAGCCAGAAAAGTTTGAGAGCCCCTGCTGTAGGGCGTCGATGCACGACTGTGTCGTCGAGGGTTGCTACTCCAGCGTCCGCCTTCATCTATTACAGTCGCTTCATCGCCTCCTGTCGCCACGGCATCCTGCAGTACACCGTCGTGAGGCCACTGACGACCGCCCTTGCCCTGTGAGTAGTCCAGGACGTCTCTTGGCTCGTGGTGCAAAACTAGGCCGTTGGCTGAATGGATTGTGAGGCTGTGCCTTCGGGTGTCCTGTTGCGCTTCCCCCCACCGAAACATGATAGGACAGTATTGGAAGGCATATCACTGTTCCCGGATTATGCTTTATTCTACGAATAAATCGCAGCAGTGATGTTTACCGTAACGCAGCCCTCGGCAAATGCTGCGAGTTGTCAGAGCACGATTGGAAAGCATGGTGTGCAAGAGTAAAAGGCTGTGTTGTGCGCTGCCCACCCCAGATTGGCGTTCCATAGTGCTGCCGTTTAGTTCTTATGGCAGCCAGAGGCTCTCACCGATAGTCTCAAAAAGGAGGGGGAATGTCTTTCGGAAGTTAATTATTGTCATCTGGCAAAAGTGCCACAATCAATTGGCTTCATACTGTAGCTTGTGTCATAAAATGTGTGTGTGGGCAGCAGAGACGAGGATGAAGGGAGGACAGGACACAAATAAGGCGCCTTGTGCCCTGTCCTCCCGTCGTCTTCATCTCAGGTTGTATGAAATGACCAACCAACTGGCTCAAATAGCCACTCTTCTTGTAGCTTGTGCTTTGTGTTTTTGTGGGCAGACTGTGATAAAAAAATATATTATGTGAAATCTTACGGCTGCTTTGGAGCAATTCAAGTGCTCCACATTCATGTTTGTAGTGCAGTCATGGTCGGTTCACGCATACATATTACCACGCGATACAAAGCTAAGCATGATTGCAAAGCGCTTTGAACACGGCAGTGGATTTCGCTGTGAGTGAGTAATATTAGCAGAGCGGTTGTTGAGGAAAGAACCCGAGCGCGTCCGTTTCGTTGGTGGCCGTTTTATTCTCTCGTGCCCTAATCCTGCCGTTCGTGGTCTCGTGTTTTCCTGTCGTCTCTTTCTTCTTCTGGTAGTTGAATTCCCGTAATCTACAACAACTTCCCGCGGCGGCCGAAGAAAAGAGAGACAAGACAATACACGAGGGGTCAGTGTCAGTAATGTGAAAACAAAATAAAAAAAAAAAAAAGGGGCGGGATCAAAAGAAGCCGTTAACACACAAGCAGAACGAAAAGAAACGTTATCGCAAGCCATTAAAATAGAGTTCCGTCTCGTTTGTTTTGGAACACAACTTGCTGTTATGTCGAATCAGCGGGCTTCGATCCTTCTCTTGGCGAGTTTGCTTCAAGGAGGTAAAGTCCTTGGATGGGACGGTGTATTTCTTGCCTGTTCGCAAGGCGCAGTCTGCATGCTCTTGGTATTCCATCTGTCCCCGAGACGGTGTCTGTTACACGCCCGAGTTTCCATGTAAGGGGCGACGAGTTGTCCTCTACGAGGACAACATCTCCTGGATTGACCCGTGGTAATAACCGTGGCTGACTCTTATGTGCGGAGTCCAGAAGCAGTAGGTACTCGTGTTTCCAGCGTTTCCAGAATTGCATTATTAATCGCTGGCGATACAGAGCACGACACCTTAGTTCAGCGGCAGTCGATGTTGGCGGTCCGATTTCTGCTCCATGCGATATACGTAGGAGTCGCTTGGCTACGAGAAAATGTGATGGTGTCAAGGGCTCTAGTTCTTCCGGATCATTACTGATGTGGGAAAGTGGACGGCAGTTTACGGTGGCTTCTACTTCATGAAGTACGGTGGTAAGTTCTTCAAAGGCTAAGCTGCTGCGTCCAAGAGTTCTCTTCAGCACGTTTTTTACGGTCCGAATTATCCTTTCCCACCATCCGCCCCACCAGGGTGCTCGCTCCACATTAAATCGCCACTGAATACGGAGTCCGCTGGAGTAGTCCTGTACGCCATCTGTGTGAAGCATCTTTTAAGACTCTGGCTAAGTGATGTAAAGTTTGCGCGTTGTCAGAGTAAACAACAGATGGTACTCCGCGTCAAGACACGAAGCGACGTAAGGCGAGAAGAAATCTATCTGCGGACATGTTAGAGGCAAGTTCTAGGTGTACGGCGCGTGTTACAGCACAAGAAAAATAACAATGTAAGCCTTTTCTGACGGTGCGGCACGCACGTACAGAGGTCCACAGAAGTCGATACCGACGACATTAAAAGGGCTCGTTTCTGTTATGCATTCTCGTGGTAGGGAAGCCATAGGTGCTTCCTCTGGTTGGAGTCGCCTACGTCGACATGGGAGACAGGTGTGCTGCACTCTCTTCGCTGTCTGGCGCCCTCTTAAAATCCAGTACCTCTGCCGTAGTTCCGTGAGTGTGTCTTGGACTCCTCCGTGAAGTAGTCGGAAATGTGTGGCCAGTACAAGAAGCTCTGTGAATCTGTGGTTACTCGGGAGTAAAATCGGGTGTTTAACCTCCTCCGGAACGTCCAGTTGCTGCAAGCGACCTCCAACACGTATCAGTTTATGGTCGTCGAGGAATGGATGGAGGCTTGCAATACTAGAAGTGAAAGGCACCCTTCCTCCCGACAGTAGTGCTGCAACTTCGACTGGAAATTCCATTGTTTGTACCGTTCGTGTCCAGTAAACCTCCGCTTGAACCAATTCTGTAGCTGTCAATGGGCCTGATAGTGGTGGAAGCGGTGAGGCGTTATGCAGAAATCTTCGTACCCATGCAGTAATGCGCAGAACACGCGTCAGGTTACTGTGTTTCATTAGGTCGAGTAGTGAGGTGTGGTCCGGTGTAACCACGGGACAAGTGGTTGTCGGGTGCCTTGACTCTTTCATAGGGAGACCTTTTGGATCTCGCTTTAATTGTTTGGAGGGCCACGTTCCCTCGCCTTGTGCGAGCCAATAAGGCCCATTCCACCATAAGGCGCTACGTTGTAGTATCGGTGCTGGGACGGCACAAGTCAACAGGTCTGCTGGATTGTCCTGGCTGGGACAGTGATACCACTGGAAGCTGTCCGTTAGACGCCTGATCTCTACTATCCTGTTGCTGATGAAAGGCTGCCATCGACTTGGGTGGCCGGCAATCCAATGGAGAGCAATCTCAGAGTCTGTCCAGAAGTATGCTTGAACGTGTTCGAGTCCAGAAACTTTGCGCACATAGTTGAGTAGTCGTGCTCCTAGAAGGCAGGCAATAAGTTCGAGTCGCGGTAGTGAATGCGGTTTCAGAGGGGCAACTCAACCTTTAGCGATCAGGATCTGTGTTGTGAACGACCCATTCGAAAGTACGGCCCGCAGGTATATCGCTGTTCCATAGGCACGTGGGCTGGCGTCTGTAAACACATGCAGCTGAATCGAAGGGTCTGCATCAGCTTGAGGAGGAATCGCGTACCGAGGAATTCGGAGCGATGAAAGTGAAACTAGATCCGAACACCAAGAATTCCATACCGCAAGCTCTTCAGCGGAAAGGCTTTCGTCCCAGGAGCACTTTCGTACCCAAAGTGCTTGAAACAAGAGCTTGGCTTGAGTTGTAAACGGTACCAAGTAACCAAATGGGTCGAAGATCCGGGCGAATGCCTGAAGAATGGTTCGCTTTGTGGCTGATTGCGTTGTCAAGTAAGTCGTCACATTTTGTGTACTGAGAATGATCTCGTCTTTAGTGCGGTCCCACATAACTCCGAACACTTTCAGCTGATCAGTCTCACCTTTAGTGGCATTTTCATACGAAATTTCGTCACGCATGAACTGGTTTTGTAAAGAGGACAGATTGGACGACCATTTTCGTAGGTCCATTCCTGCCTGTGTTATTAAGGACCGTGTCTGCTGGTAGGCCTGTAAGGCGTCATCCTCCGACGAGCAACCCAGCACGAGATCGTCAACATAAAAGGATTGCATCAACCGATCCGCCATGTCAGGATGACGTCCTCTCATGGACATAATGTGATGGCGTAATGTTGCTGCAAGCAGGAAACGGGCTTGAGGATGCTCCGAAAGGGACACGTGTCATGCGCCATTCCACAACATTGGGCGTGTTGATTGTCTTGCATGGGAGTTGGTCTACCCATAGGAAACGAAGTGCATCACGATCGGAGGGTCGAATGCCAATCTGCAAGAAAGCCTTGCGGATGTCTGCGATCAGGACCACGGGGCTACAACGAAACTTGAGAAGCATCTGAAGCAAGTCGTTTTCAATATTGGGTCCCTTGTCAAGCACTTCGTTGAGCGAAGGTTTGTTGCTCAGATGCGATGATGCATCAAACACAACACGGATTTTCGTTGTTACAGCATCCTTGCGAATGACAGCATGATGTGGCGGATAGTAAACGTTTTTTGGTCGCTCCTTTGAGGGTACAACTTTCTCCGCATGACCTTCATCAAAATAGTCCCGAATGGTGCGATCGTATTGTTCAAGCATTTCTGGGTAGGTACGGAACCGACGCAGCTGCACGAAGAGTCGATTTTTTGCAATGGATCGGTTGTCATTGTCTGTTCCAAGGCCAGGGGACTTTATCATCAAGGGGACTTCATAGCGGTTGTTAACCTTAATGATCTCGTTCTCAAATTCCAACATCGTTGGGTGTTCAAGGAAACGTGTCCCAGTACATTCCGAGATACCAATGGCGTCCAAACGCCACATTTCTGACGGATCAAAAGTGTTGCGGCAAGGGTCGACGGGCTGGCAGGGGAAAAAAAAGGGCCGACGCTGTGGCTGAAGGGTGACCGATACTCCCAGAGTAGGTCCCTTGAACCACCCAGCCAAAAATGGTTTCAACGGCAGTTAAGGTTCGACTCATGCGTTGGATCCTTCCCTTGACCACTTGCCAGTAGACATCTGAACCTATTAGGACGCTTATGTTATTGTCCACTCTTGTGTCAGAATCTGGAGGAATGTCTGCGGCCTGAAATCCGTTTGAATGAAGTTGCGTCAGCAGATGATCATCAAGTTGCTGGTGCGATAACGTGCACAGCTCAAGGATTTCCAGTGCTTCAAATGTCACCTTCTGATTGCTACGATGGCCCTGAAGGGTCACAGCCACGCGTCGACAGGAGTGTTTGGTGGCTGTATTGCCAAATGTGTTGATGGTTAGATCTTCTCGGCCTACAACTTCGCAGCCGAGTTCTTCAGAAACATCCCGTCTGATAAACGTGCGCTGGCTGCCAGTATCTAGCAAGAGTCTTACGAGAACATTTCTTGGTGTCCCTGATGCCCACGCTCTAGCTGTTTGGAGGAGGACAGGAGAAGAACAGGAGTTGCTGGCTGGCGCGCTAACAATGGATGTGGCGTGTTCAGGGGGCTCTTCAGGTTGCGGAGTGTACAATGGGGCTGGCAGCTGACGTGATAGTTCAAAAAGGATTGTCAAGTGATGACCACCACATGTGGAATACGACAAGCTTCTGCCTAAACGACAAACACGAGCGATGTGATTTCGCTTCCCACATTTAAAGCAACAGCGCGCTCGTGCAAGCTTGGTTCGCTTATCTTGTGTTGAAAGTGGGGCCTGGCAGTTTTGGAGTTTGTGCTCCGGGGAACCACAGAAGGGGCACGCAGTTGATCGGTAGCCTTCCGATTCCGTCGATAGCGCGAGAGTTGAAGGGTGATTTGCTGAAACTGAATCTTGAGGTGTCGTTGGCGATAGCCCTCGTCGAAAACGATAGCTTGCTTGATCTATTTGGCCATCTTCTCGGATTTCGACTTGTATCCTCAAAAACTTCATGACAATATTAGCTTGGTCTTCTGGAGCCAGGTCCGGTGTACTCGTTGAAGATGGTGGTGTGGATTCTATCAGCTTCTGATGGTAAAGGACAGCCAGGTCAGCGGGAAGGCAGCGCATGAGAACTCGATGGAGAACGACTGCGTAGCTGCTAGGTGGAACCTCCAACCCTTCAAGAGATGTTGTGCGGAAACGTATTGCGTCGTGAAGCTGACAAAGTTTTGCCACGTCGCTGGAGGTGTTAATCACAGGTAAGTTCAAAAGCTAATCAATGTGATCGTCGATTAGAATGTCATGTCGTCCAAACCGGTCCTGAAGTGTTCGTGCTGCGAGTTCGTAGTTTTGGTCGGAGAGTCGAATTCCCTCGACGGCGCGTTTAGCGTGGTCTGTTAGATACGTCATGAGATATTTGAATTTTTCTATTGGTGGGAGATCGGGGTTTGCGTGGATGGTAACATTAAAATGGTCCCAAAATCCCTGCCAATCGCGGAGGTTACCAGCAAACATGGGGACTTGCAGTTTTGGAAGGGCGACGGTCCGTGGGCTCCTTACTATTGTTGCGGTTGATGGAGGGTTGACGGAAGGTGCCTCCGGGAGCTGAGGTTGAGCGTTGGTGGCGAAAGTGTCTAGGCTGTAGTGGAGACGCGTGAGAGAGGTGCTGATCCGTAGCCGGTATTCTTCTGCAGCCTCCACTTCGTCCTCCAAGGCTTCGTCCGTGATGGCCGCGAGGATGTCGCTGTCGAGGTCTTTGAGTGCGGCTTGTTTTTGCGTGAGGTACTCAAGTGGGATTCGCAGTTGAACTTCAGTGGAATCCGGGTTCTCCAGGAGAGCGTCGATTTGGGCGAGAGTGCGAGAGACGGCGGAGCGGACAACGCCACGGGTTCTGCGGAGGCGGTCCATGGCTTCTCAAGGTGTTTCGGCACCAAATTATGTTGAGGAAAGGACCCGAGCACGTCCGTTTCGTTGGTGGCCGTTTTATTCTCTCGTGCCCCAATCCTGCCGTTCATGGTCTCGTGTTTTCCTGTCGTCTCTTTTTTCTTCAGGTAGTTGAATTCCCGTAATCTACAACAGCGGTTGCAAACAAATAATTTCTTTTGAAGAGACATCTGCACGCTGGAAACTCAATCCACCTTCGAAATTACTTACGTCTCTGCCGTGGAGGCACAAAATGTGGCGGTTGCGCCGTGTCCGCTGGTTTGTAAACGCTTTCAAATGTCCGCCACACAGTGGTGATCACTCATGTACATCGCAGTTTTGGGCGTGTGCAGTGGTCCGGCCGTTTCAAACCCCGTCTCACTTCCCCAATCCCACAATAATTTTTTTTTTCTTTTTTCAGGGTGACTGAATTGTTTGGCAAATACGGAGAAGGCAAATTTGACTGGGGTTACTCCTACCCCTACATTGTGGTTGTCAACAACCTGTCGCAGTTTGTAAGTTGACCATTCTCAAGATTCTTCTATACTTCGTTTCAGCTTAAGTCCAGACGCAGTCAATGCTACAAGCGCGAGCATCTGGCCCTGAACAGTGCTTGAACCGCACAAGCGCGTGCTTGGCAGGGATGCTGAAAGCCTAGAGTTTGCGCTTATAGCATCGGCTGCGTCTCGACTTTAGCTGAAACCAAGTATAGCCATGTGGGATGTGGGGAACTGCCGTAGGATTTGGCCAAATAGTTGTCGTTTTAAAAGTGATTAATGGCATTTCTTCCCTTTTTTTTTTTTCCCTTGGCCCAAGGTTGCAATGTACAGCTTGGTCCTCTTCTACAAAGCGTACCGCAGCGAGCTCACACCAATGTCGCCCATTCCCAAGTTTCTGTGCATCAAGGCTGTCGTCTTCTTTTCGTTCTTGTAAGTTTTCGTCCTTGGAGTATCTTCTTTCGGTACAAACTATTATTATGTTTCTAAATAGTTTGGAGTGGAAACCAATTTTTTGCAATATGAAGTCTTTCGCTATAAGTGGTTGACTGCATTTTATTCAGTTTCTTTTTTTGCCACCAACTTTACCGGACCTTTACGAGACAGTGGTAAAGCGGCCGACTGATCAAGACTGTGTAGAGAAGACTTTCAAATTACTGTAGTTGTCGCATTCTCTTTAAAGTGTTTCCGGCCGTTGTGAAAACTAAAGCAGCTGCATTAAACCTGTTTTTATTTTCGCCCATTTAGCACTTATTCCTACCGAGCTCCAAACAGCTTAGAGAACCAAATGTACCATGTGCAGTCAATTGTTGCACAATTGGAAGTTTGCTTCAGCGGAAAATCACCCTGATATTCAATTGCAATCTTAATCAAGGTCCTGTAAAGTTGCATGGTCTGGCAAGCTAAGCATGCTAAAAATAAACAGAAACAATGATTTTTTCTTAGTTTTTTATCTGGCATTTACATTTTTTTTTGTGTGTGTGTGCAGCCAATCTGTGATCATCTCACTTTTGATCTACACCGGCATTGTGTCGGCAACGTTTGTCACCCAGGGAGGTGGCGTGGGTGACGTGAACAGGGGACTTCAGGTAAACCAATCATTGTTGGCTCTGTATACTAGTCTTAAAACGACAAACCTCATTCTGCTAATTGATTTTGATTTAAAAAGAACCTCTTGCAAGACTCAGTGGCAGCCGATGGTTTGCCAAGAGGCTGAGCTTCTTCAGTCCTGAAAACGCAAAGTGTCTTAGCAAGATGTTTGCTGCTGCTCTAATGCTGCAGGTGGTTGCTTTCAAATTCTCCCTACCAGTTCTTCCTTTGAATGGTGCTAGTATTAATGGCATAATACTTTGGTTCACTATAAGTGTACACATAGCAGAAGCTACAAAAGCGAACTCCAGACCTCTAAAGTACCCACTAAGCACGCACGCGTGCTCGTGCTGTGCAGGCATTATTCGGGGCAATGTGCTCACGCTTGTAGCTTCAGCTTCACTTTCACATCAAGTGAAGCAAACTATAGCATTACTAGTGCCTTCCTATGAATGGTATTAGTGTTACCTTATTTTCTGGGCTATAGTCCATGGTCTATACATGTTTAAAAGTTGTAATTTTAGGCTCTGCGGACTATACAGGAATTTTGTTTTTCGAGGTCATACATTAAGAGATGTGACGGATTTCGTGAATAAAAAAAGTCTGTTAATGATAATTTATGTATAATACAAGCTTCTTTGTGAGCTAGGAAAGAAGACATTTGTTAAGGTGTGTCATGTATGAGAAGATTGGTTATAACAAAGTCAACGGGAATTGGAAATCACTTCGCTATATCTGGACGAATAAAAATACCCCCCCCCCCCTCCTCAATAAAAAAAAACACGGGCTGTTATGGGCACATGTTTATCAAGCCTGCAGAAAGCAGTCGAGGCTTCCTTGCATGCGCTCTCTGCAAGATCGGAGCCGCCTCTCGCCAACTGCGAGAAGCTCCGACCGAGAAAAGATCTTGCGAGCTACGTACAGGCTGTGTAGACAGCCGCAACGGCCGCCGCGGAGGACGTCGACGGTGGACGGCATTCTTTACATTTATGAACACTTCCATGAGGATGGCACGCTCTTGTTTCAAGGAGATTGCCTTCGACTTCCCCGTCGAGGTGCCGGCGGTGCCGGGACACTCCATCCTTGAGTGGCGATGACTTGCCGAATCGGTGCTTGAGCGAAGTTAGACTTCCGCGCAAAAGCCACCACACCGACCTGCCATGCCGACACGGAAGATGAAGCAAACAAAAAAGCACGCACGGCACCGAGTTTGCGCTAAAGCTTGTCTTTCGTCAGTATAGAGAGCCTATATTTAAGGGAGGGCCAATTGCTCGATCGGGGTCACGTGGCTTGTGGGCAGTGTTTGCAAAACGAGCTGCAGCATGCAATGAGTCAAAACTCGGAAGCGGTCACCTTCTGCAAACGTGTTTGCCTCTCTGCCCAGTTTCATCACCGCACCGGCCACGCGACAGTCAAATGCAGGCATACTTATTGCTCCCTCTTGTAAATCTAGGCTGTCACTGTCATCTCCACCGGTACGTTGGCACTAGCGCTCCGATTGCCTCCATCGGCATGCCACGACGGCTTCTCCGCGGGCAATGCGGTAAAGCTGCTTCCCAGATAAGGAGCGGGGAGTAGGCGACGTTGCAGAGACTGCCGCCAGCGGCCTTTCCAGCATCTTCTGTAGCCTGTTCTGGGTGGTTTCTTGGCCGCAGCAAAACTAAATAAACTTTCCGAATTTGTTTTAATTATTAAACATTTTTTTTTTTTTTTGCTAAGTCCATGGCAGCCATTCAATATCTTTTGCTAAAACAGACACAAATGCATTGAAAAGGTTCAAATGAGATTGGGAAATTGTGATCACTTACTTCGCTGTAGCCGCCATTTTGTTATAACCAGTCTCGACAGAATCTAAGCAAAACTTTTATTTTTGACCCTAAATTTGCCCCTGTGGACAATAGCCTGGAAAATATGATACTAGTACCTCTGTATGAATGGTCCTAGTATTTGGTACGTTCCTATTTACAGATGGTATTAGTATTACAGGTACCTTCTTGTGAATGGTAGTATTACTATAGCACCTTCGTCTGAATGGTGCTCGTTACATGTTCAACAAACACTAGGGTGACCAGACGTCCCGTTTTGGCCGGGATAGTCCCGTTTTTGAGGTCCGCTTCTGCCGTCCCGTTTTTTTGTCCCAATAAATAATCATGTCCCGTTTTTGCAGGAGTGCATACTTTCGAAATTGGCACCAAGGGAGTTGAAGCGAACCGAAACTGTCTACTCATTACAAGTAGTCTTGTGCGAAGAGTGAATTGTGGGTTCGAAGCGAATAGTGGTTTTGGCCAAATATTTTCGATTCGAATATGGAATAGTTTTTCCACTTCTTTCACTACCATAGCATAATGCTCAGACAAAATCCCAGCTAAACTTGTGAAGGTTGTTCCACTTGTTCATTTATAAGGCAGGTTTAATCTATCTATATTTATAAAGTGTGACCTCAGAACGTCTGATGTCTTGGGATGGCAAGTAAACGACGAATTTGACATAAAATGAATCTTATACAGACGGCCAACTACTCCCAATCGAGTGAATTTACAAATCTTGCTATATAAAATATTCTTTCTTTAATCTTGAGTGAAACAAGAATGAATCGCGCATGCTGAAAGCAGGTTGTAAAGGCATCTCTGCCACTCTTGCATATCAGTCAGTTTAATTTTGAAACTTTTACTACAATGTCGATATATACACATTCACTGATTTTCCATTTATTTTAAAACACAGCCGGCACGCGTGCACCATGCGGCTTTGAATGCTTACTTTTCTTCCAAGCACGCAATTGCGATATTCATACTTTTCCAAGGGTTTAATTGTGGCGGGTTACCCCGTTGAGTTCGCTTCTTACCGAGCACCGATGTAATGCAGAGAAGCAACACCCGCGGAGGTATTACTTCTCCGCAGTGCACCGCTGTTCGGCAAGAAGCGCACTCAACGGAGCTAACCCGCCGCAATCAAGACTTCGAAAAACGCTAATAGTGCAGTTTTTCCTGAAGCGAATATCGAATAATGTATTATTCGAAACTACTATTCGAAATTTCGAATATTCGCACAACCCTAGTTGCAATTATATTTTACAAAAATAACTGTAGGTACTTTAAAATATGAATTAAGCTATACGCACTATCCCGTGCACTCGACCGGAAATGGCTATGCGCACGACGCAAAACTTGGTGGGTCTTGTATAAAACGGATAGTTACGTAGAACTTGAGTTTGCAATAAAGAAAAAAAAAAAATAGCATAGCTTAGTGGAAAGGTTCCTGCTTCATATGCAGCGTACCCAGGTTCGATCCACAGAGAATGCTTACTTTTTTCTCTTTTTTTTTTGTCGAGCATTTGGCGATATTTAAATTTCTCTTTTACAATTAACACTGAAAAAAAAAAAGTGATTGTTGTTGAACTAAGTGGTATGCGACTCCCTTTCCGACTGCTTGGGTTGACGGCTGGACGCCGTGAAGCGTCGTGTACGGTGGGGCCAAGTGGGTTAATAGTTTTGCAATGAGCAGCCGCATACTGTGGTCGAGAAGCGGCGTGAACGCAGGCGGGGGATATTTACCCAGAGAGTAAAATTGAGTGGAATATGGTGAGTTGAAATAACAGCAGTTATTTCATCAAATTATTTCTTCCAATTTCAATCTCTGGTACCCGCCCCCCTACCCCCCCCCCCCCCCTTTGCTGGGATGTCCCATTTTCTGCCATGAAGAATATGGTCACCCTAACAAACATGCTTACTAGGCTGGCCTGGCCCACAAACGAAATGCGTCCGACAAGCGCGCAACCATAATGTAGGCGCTCAACGTGGTGTCCCCTGGGCCGGTTTGCTGATCTGGCGGCTGCGGCTGCTGCCAAGAGGGATTTTTCTGTCACGTGACCAGCTCCATGGGGACAAGGAAGTACCTAGCGTCCCTGCCTAAAGCGCGAAACACATGTACGACGGAACCTTCCGATCCGACGTGCGGACTGCCGGAATGACCTTGGGGGGAGAGGGTTTTCGTAGCATCGGAGAGCGTTGAAAACCCTCGCCTCCGACCGTCGTATTGCGCGGTCGGACGTCGGATCGGACGGTTTCGTCGTACATGTGTTTCGCGCTTAATGGCGAAGAAATCCGTATCGCTTCAAGCACAAAAGCCTAATTTTGCTCGCAGAAACTGATTGCAGGGACTTTCCTCTGGAATCCAATTGACCGCCCCTTTATACTGTAGGAGCGGCAGATAAAGTTACGGCCAGGAAGGGTAATAATGAGCCAAAATAAAGGAAAACCCACTCGAGATGAAAGCGGTGGCAGAATATTTACAGTAAACACCGTGTAAAGCGGAGTAGTGCAAGTGGATGATTTCTAAAAAGGATCACAGTTAAAAAGTAAGACACGCAAAAATACAAAAAGAAAAAAAAAAAAAGTTTGTAGCACGATTTGAACCCGGGACTTTCACGCCGTGACAATAAGTACCGGCGCTCTAACCTCTCGACCACAGTAGAAAACGCGAGACGCCGACGCTGGCGGAGGTATATAAATATTCTGCCACCGCCTTCATCTCGAGTGGGTTTTCCTTTATTTTGGCTCATTTTTACCCTTCCGGGCCGTAACTTTATCTGCCGCTCCTACAGTATAAGGGGGTGGTCAATTGGACTCCAGGTGAAAGTCCCTGCAGTCAGTTTCTGCGAGCAAAATTAGGGTTTTTGTGCTTGAAGCGATACGGATTTCTCCGCCATTTGGCAGGGACGCTAGGCACTTCCTTGTCCCCATGGAGCTGGTCACGTGAAAGAAAAATTCCTCCTGGCCGCAACCGCAGCCGCGGCCGCAAGATCAGCAAACCGGCCCTGGCAACCAGCTCGGGTGTATGGCGCCAGCCGTCACCGCAACAGTACCAGTATTGCTAGTACTTTTCGATGAATGGTAGAGCTCCATAATTTCTTTAATAATATCACCGGAGCGTCGACCGGCAGGCCGGTCAACATTGCATCACACAGCGCTGCGGTGTAATCGGTGGGAGTGAGCGAGTGCACACAAAGCTGCGATCACTCTCACCGGTAGGGCTGGACGTCGATTAAAAATTTTAACCCAATTAATCGCAACCCTTCAACTGATTAATTAATCAATGGCATTGATTTTTATAAATAATATATTAAAAAAGAATGGAACAACTCGTCTTGGCTTTGAAGACCTATTTTAATCTCTGTTACACGGCGCAAAGGACATTTAGAATTGAGGATACATATAGTTCAACGATTCAAAGACTCGCATACTTTTGCTCTAGCTCCGGAGACAAAGAAGTTTGTCCAGATTCTCCGACAGGAAGACAAGAAGTCAAGCCTTGGGCGATGCTTTCTTCTTTTTTCGGAGAAAGGGGCCTCGATGAGGAGACATTGATTGTTGTCTGCGTTTTGGCGGATGGTACTTGCTGCAGCGGCATACGGGTGCTTCGCAGGTGATACTGAAGCGAACTTACGCTTCCATTGTATGAAACCGGCTTTTTGCAGACGATGCAGTGGACTTTCTTCGAGTTAAAAACTTCACCGCTGGAGTTTACTTTAAACCCACACTTTCCAGAGAGATTGCCTTTCATACTCGTGAACTCGTCCATTTTTACGGGCTGAATACTGGAACAAGTAACCAAGGCGTTGCTAGCTTACCCGCTCGGTTTTGTGCTTGTTTGTCTTGCCTGGGCAGGATATGTAATAGACCCTAACCACGTGAAGTTTTGCGGTAGTAAAAGGATTGCGGGCCAGGCTTGTTTGTCTGGCCTCGGCAGAACTGCAATGTATATCCTCGAACATGTGACGCTTCGCAAACGCAAAAATTGAACCGTGCTCATAGCACCTGGCTGGGAACGGAAAACCGCTCGGGACAGAACGATCAGATACAATCCACGCAGCGTTTTTCTAGGGGGGGGGGAGTTACCCCTAGTTTGGGCAAGTCGTCCAGGATAGAGCCATGCATGCGTCCAGTTGACTTCTTTTTGAGTACCGACTAACCGGTTAAAAAATTTGATCGCGATTAAAGCCTTAATCGATTAATCGGAAGGTTAATCAATCAATTGCCCAGCCCTACTCACCGGTAACGTTGTAGCGCTCTGTGACCACCGACTGGTCCACCAATCACTGCTCCCGCAACGGCATAAAAAATTGCAAAGCTGCGCCAGTAAGTTCGTAGATGCATGGCTCAGCATCCTCGAGGACAACAGACGGCCGTGTCTCCGCAGGACTTCCTCATCTGCATCGAGATGTTCATCGCTTCGGTGGCCCACTACTACGCCTTCTCGCACGTGCCGTACGTTGACCCCAGCGCCCGTCCCGTGCCGTGTTGCCTCTCCTTCCTGGCCATGTGGGACGTCTCGGACGTCACGCAGGACGTCTCCGACCACATCCGCCACGTCGGTAAGTCCGCGAGGGACCGTTCTTGCCAAAGGCCTCGCAGTCAGCAATTGGTCCTCCGGTGTGAATTGTGTCATGCGTACGTTTAGGCAGTGGTACGACAGCGACGCACACATTCTCTCCTACTTTTGCCGGAACATCTACGCCTAACCGTCGGTATTGCGACGTTAGGCGACGTCGCGACGTCATTTGTTGCCAACAAATATAAATAAGGCAACAAATCTAAATAACTTGAGATGTCAATGTGTAAAGTGGAGTTGAAATTGCACTCAGGGTCTTACCGTTAGCTGAACTTGCTGCGAACGACGCGCTTGTAAAGTGCTGAATGATCGCTTTGGGGTGGCCTCGGCCTTGTACCTCGCATTTTTTTCTTTTGACTTCAGCACAGGGCCTCCCGTGTGCACAACTCTGTAGGTTGCCCCGACCCGAGGTAACCTGTAGGCTAACAGACCCCTAATCTGCAGGCTAGAAATTCAACTGGACACTTTGCTGGGAGCATCCTTCATAGCATTACTTGTTTTTAAATGCAAATCCCTAGATTTCCTTGCATCAAGGAAAGGCACGCGCGGGGAGCGACGCCGACGCACTACAGCGAATGCTGAATCGGCACTTACTTCATAATCTTTAGTAACCGGCTGCATTTTAGAGGGCACAATATCTCCATTTGCTGAAGAAGAAAAGTTCCAGGCAGCGGCAATATGGTTAGCCCGATAACAACCGGTCATGACCTGATCAGCTATATTAGGCCAGGTGGTCCCCTAATTTAGTCTGGTTGCATTCTTTTCAACGCTGACTTGTATCGGGTGCTGTGCCTGTCTTCAGTATTTTCTCCATCCCACGGGTCATCCTGCCTTAAATAAACGCTCGGAGCAAGTAAAAATTTTCTGGAAGCCTGGATGCCTTTATGTGAATGCGTTGTCCTGCATATTTAGTTGTCTTACGCCACCAATGCATTTAGGCAACATTTGATCGGATTGCTACTAGATTGCCAATAAGTAGGAAGTATGTTCACCTGACCGCCTCGGGGCTTTTCAATGAATTGTTCAACCAGTTCAATGCTTGTTTCATAAGTTACGACAAATAATGAGTAATACGGGTAGTACCGTCATTACCACAGCACTCAGAAAAGGAGTATTAACAAACAAAACATGAGGGGGCAAGCAAGCTGGTTTAAGTTCATAATAGTCTCGGGTAATTCTAAAACTATGAGGGAGTATATTCACGACATAAAAGAAATGGGCAACATTTTTTGTGAAATCTAAAGTACATTTCACAATTTTTTTTAGATGAATATATGAAAATTTAGTTTGAAACTGCGGAATTTGATTTTCATCTGTGAAATTCAGTCTTGGAACTTAAAATATTAACTTTCTAAATTTTCTAATTTCTATGTCGAAAAAGTTTGAAATGTTCCAATTTGAATCTGAAGTAAATTACAAAATGTTCAAATATTTCGAACCATCTGTCAAAAATTCAATATGTTCAAACTCAAACTTTCAAAAACCTTCACATTTTCTAATTATTCAAATTCGAACCACAGCAGGGTTCTAAAGTTCCGAACTTTTCAAATCCGAACCTTAGCGAGGTTTGAAAATTTCGAACCTGAACTTTGGAGGTTTGCAGCATACCTAGCCCCAATAGGTGTCGGCAAATATGTGAAGGCGAACGGCGTGATGGAAGCCTGCAAGGGTATGGCGATGTAAACGGCGTCTGCTGCAGGAAACGAATCCATTTTGTGGTCCAAGATTTATGGAAATCGCTTGGCAACGTTTTCGTAAGATGTCCGTAGCTTGTGTAACTTTGATATCTGGTTCCGTCTGCTAGTGCTACCATTGTGGTTAGGCCGAGCGTTTGGGGACCCATAGATTATTTGCGCAGCGAGAAGGTGCATAATAAATATAAATTATGTAATCTGCAACGACACGTCCTTGTTGCTGTTATGGCACCTGTAAGTTCAGACCCCCCTCACCCTCTTTTTTTCCTTCATAGGAGTAGGGGAATTTTGAAAGGGTTAGGGAAGATTCGGGAAAAGCCAGGGAACTGGGACAAAGCAACAGTAACCTGGCCCACGGAGTTTGAACCTCGATAGTAGTGGCGGTGTTCGATCAGGGAACACTGGTGACCCCCCTTTTGTATTTCCCCTCTTCTCTTGTGATCCAGGCAAGACCGTGAAGAACACGGTGCAACGCAAGCCAGATTATTTCACCGAGCGCAAACTCCTGCTGGGCAGTTTCTCGGACGACACTTGCGTCAACGCGGACGAGCCGACGGACTTCCTGAACGACCGGCCGTCGAGGGGCGGATACCTGAGCATCGCCGGGACGTCCAGCCGTGCCTAGCGCGTCGGTACCTGCGACAGAGTCTCCATTCGATCGAGTTTTTTACATTCCAGACGAAACAGTGGCAAAGTCGCTGGAAAAAGTAGACGAAAGACTGCTTGATAGGATCTCGAAAGTTGCGCCTGGTGGACGGCGACGCAACAGTCCAAACAAACCAAGCATTTGTGTATTGTTAAACTTGCACATTGTTTTGTTTGGCTTGTGATCCTATCACAGGGATGGTGGACGACTCCACTAGTGGCATCATCTATGTGAAAAGTTGTGAATCGTGTAGCCTGCTTCGCTGCGTACTGCTCTTTACAGTCGCCAACGATGCAGTCGGTTATCTCGGTGTGCGATCAACCTAACACACCGATAGCCGCCGAAAATTGTCCTCGGTAAGGTTGTCGTCTGCAGTGGTGCGAGATTATTTCTCGGCACCGCATGCAGACTCTGACACGCGTACGGTTGTTTGAATGTTATGCTAAAAAGTGAAAAAGAGGTAGGAAACTGTATGGATTTAATATACAAGCAGGTGTGTTAGTGGCACCATGGGTGCAAGACTTTTCTTTTAAACCAGTTATCTATGATGAAAACAGCTCAAACGACAAAGTGGAGAAACAAACATGACGAGCTGTCTTCATCATGTACGTTTACCAATTCGCTACATTATTACAGAGATATTTATTGCTGTTAGAAACCAACCTGGGAAAGCGACCCAAAGTTGATTGATGTATTGGCCAAAAGTGGCATTTGACATGTTCACTCCGAATACCGGCAAATTTAATGTTTTCTTTTGTGGTCCTCCTGTACAATTTGCATGTATATTTGCTCTTTTAACATGTTGCAGGGTTGGATGACTTGTTGCTTTATAAGCAGCTCATTGTCTGTTGCCAATGTATCCTTCCAATGTTTTACGTGGCACTTTTTACCTTTGGAAAACAATCAGTCACATTTTATCGTACACACAACCATTTTAGTTGCACAAGAGAAGTTATTACAGGCATGGGAGTTCACATCGCGGGACGATGACTGCCTTTTTGGAGTTGTTCCTAAATAATTATGATGCTTAAAGGTTACTGTTTTCAGACGGGGTAGCTGTGTTCACAGTGTTAATCCTTGCACATGCTAGCTTTTATTTTAGCTTTACATCCTTCAATGTCTCCCCTTGCCAATGTGAATATGTGGCACCAGTTCTTTTTTATGAAACACTATAATATGTTGTAACTCTTGACCCTAGTCATTCCAACAATTCATGTAATATATTTGCTATTTATTAAGTGTACGACGTAACGAGAGAATGTAACCGAGTGCCTTACGCTGTGCTTGTGCATCTATCAGATATATTGTTTGTTTCTCTTTTTAAGTAAATAGAGTTTGAAAACACTTTGATGGCTCGGCTTTTCTTTTTTTTATAATTCTAGTCATAATCATGTGCTGTTTCTGCAAAATATTACCTTGGAGATACACACAGACAAATGTTGTTGCGGTTAACATGCAAAATTTACGGGACTTGGCGGAGGCAGGGGCAACGACTTGGGACTTCAATCTTCTCGCCTCAAAGCATGTTGAGATGCTTCTCCATGACCATGTGTGGGGGTCTTAGGGTTTCGCCTTCAAGAGCTTCTGCAATGAAAAAAAAAAAAAAAGGGGGGGGGGGGGGGGGAAAGGAGGTTAGACTTGCATGAAAATTGTTGCAAGCTGTCAAATGTATGTCGGTGACTGCAGCCGCTGTGCCAATGCTTGACAGGTGGTGGGTTTGAACCCCTGCTGGGATTCGAACCTGCCACCCGGGCGTAACCGAGGATTTGGTTGCACGTCAAAAGATTTCCAGACGGTCGAAATGAATCTTCGGCCATCCGCCGGGGCGTGCCAGCCGCAGTTCGTTGACTTGGCACGCGAAACCCCCAAATTTTAATTCCCGAAAAATGAAACAGCACGCAACTGCCAAAAATAAAGCACAGCGCTTCGGCTTCCTTATGCCTCTGTTTCAAGTTCGGGACATGTGCGCAGTTTCATTTTTAAAACTTAAATGAGTGGTTGCAGGGTCAATACGAAAGAATTTTCTTAAAACCTGGAAGGATTAGTTTAAAAAAAACTCATAAACATGTTGGAGTGTACGTACCATTGTAGATGTCCTCAAACGTGATTGTTTCGTCGCCACCTTCGAGCGCGTCCAGCATTACGTTGGAGCTCGGCAAGAAAGGCAGTCTTCCCACCTGACATCGAGACGTGGAAGGCGTTGTCACTTATACGTGGGAATCCCATCGTTTTCGTTTTGCATGATTGGACGCAACAAACTGCTCTAATAAAGTCGGTATTTATCAGTACCTATTCTAAATGGGCATGACCCCAATGCATGGAAAAACTAAACTGGTGTTTCAAAGGGATGGTGAACCGAAATTTAGATTACAAAAAAAAATGCAGGAACTGTAGGTGGGAAGCTACAATCCCCACAACACTACTCGTAAGGTGACATCTCGAATCGACGGCCGTATTTTGGGGAAAAAAAGGTCGAGATTGAACGAGGCCGACGAGGCGCGTGACGTCCCAAGATATCTCGTTTCCTCCTCTCTTCGTTTCGCCCCCTCAAGGCAGCGAGGCGGAGAAGACGCGAGGTCGTTCCCTCTCCTCCTTGGAGAAACAAGACTAAAACATATCCGTCAAATGCACCTCCTTTTTTTTTAAATATATGGTCATCCGGTCGATATATCCTTGTACGAGTGATGTTTGTAGCATCCTGTTGCACGCTTTTGCCGCCGTGCTTTGTGGAATCCAGATTTCGGTTCAGCATCCCTTTAAGGGTAAGTAAAAGCATAGCTTTACAGTAAATATGCACTCTACAGTTGGGATCTTTCTCATGGTATACCTTGACTAAGACTGCTGCCATGGTTATACACTTTTGCAAACAAGGTACCAGAAATGAGACCAAAATAAACACTGAGCAGTCCGCTGAATTAGCGAAGCTCATTCCCAACCGATCAGCCGACGTTGTGCAGATGCCAGAAACTCTGGATGAATTGCAGGGAAAGGTAAAAGCATTTGTTATTTTCTTTTTAGAAAAATCACCTGTGATGCTGCCTTCCGTTCCGCCATCAATTTGATGGGACCGTGAAGTCCTTGAATTGATCTCGCCATGGCAAGCTGTATCTTGAGGTTGTTGTCCTTGTACTGGAACGAAACAAAGGATATATGAATGCATACGGCTGAACTTTTTCAATCGGGTGGCAGCTTGTGCCACCTAGCCAGTGTTTTAGCATCAGCTATGTAATATGCAAAAGAGTACAGTGAAGCTGTTGAATAGTAAGTAGTACTGTTAAAAGTTATGATCCGATTATCATGACAGGAAAACGAAGACAGTGTGTTAGCTAGTCATGAAATTAAGCACAATACATTGTGTAATGACAAGTTACAGCAGGAAGTGCTCACAAAAAAGCCCCTCAACAAACCGTGCAGTAAGAACAGGTTTGTCTTACGTTTCGTTCCGACAACTCCAATGGATGGACCGCCGAAATGTTGTTTTTCACGCTTGAAAATCTGTAGAGAAAACAAACTCTTGCATTACTTCCACTTTAAAAGAAAAAAAAAGAAAAAAGGTGTTTGGCAGATACCCTTTGAGGTGCGGAATATGACACGGTCATAGAAAATGACTAAAGGGATTGCTCACCCGTTCAGCATGACATCGTTTACGCCGTACGCTCCGTTTTCCTGCGTTGTCGGTTTGGACTGAGACGTCGTGGGTCTGAGCGGCGGAAAATCCATCTGTAGAAAAAAGATAAAAAAAGAAAACTAAGGGTCCAAGCTCAATCGTATTGTATTGTGCTGCGAGGACAGCTAGAACACGCCTGTACATCATACACAGGTATACATCATATTGTTTTGTTTCCTAAGACGGCCAACCGTCAGTCAGTACACGCCTAACCACAGGTTGTGTCGCCAAGGATTATCTGAGAATCTACAAAGCGTAATTCGTTAAGTTCAACTACGTTCACCTATTAGTCGTAAAACACAATGAGTGCTAGGACGGCACCAAAGAGACAATGATTGCGAGACGCCCGCCGGCTCGTATTTACATTTCAAGCGATTTGAGCCTTTCTGTAAACACGCTCAGCAGTTTACCGCTACCGTGATTGCGGGAGTTTACTTACAGTTATGAGAAATCAGTAACAAACCGTACCGGTGCTGCACTTCGACGCAGTGAGTGATCAAGCAGCTTTGAATCAAGATGGCTGCCAGTGCGATCCTGGCGCCGCCTGAAGTAAGTTTCGGTTTCCAAGCCGTAAACGCTCAATAGTTTCGCTTTTCAATGTTCTAAACTAGTTAACGGCTATTATCAGTATTTTATGTATAAAAATAACATTGTTATAATAAGATTGATTTAATTTTTTTAATAATTCGTGTAGCACAAGCTTCATGTGATCTGCCCGTCAAGCGGTTTATCCAGTCTGCTTACGCGAGCAAAAGCGGGCGGGCTCTCTTGTTTAATCAGCGCTCGTACCACGTGGTCAGATCCAGCACTTGCCCAATAATCTCTTCAGACCTCCTACCAGAGCACCAACGGAGGGAGCTCTAAACCGCGCAATGCTCACTTCAATTGCACCAAAGCGTTCATCAAATCGGTGGGGGGCATGAGTCTAAATTGTTTGACGCGTGTGACGTTTTTGTGTGTTTGTTGACGAGGATGACAGCATGTTCAGTGTTCCTTCAAGTATGGATTGTGATACAGTTCTACTGGACTTGCAGTGCGGACCTGCAAGAACGTGAGTTGTGTTGTCTATTTTTGTAGTCGAAATTTAATTCCTTTTAATGTACGCGTGGCGTTTGTTGGTGGAATTGGTAGTTGATCAAAACTTCAATTATTGATTAATTTTTCTATTCATTACCAGTCAGATTGCGTAAACATTGAACAGTATTTGACAGCTATTTTAATAACACGAACAGAATATATTACGTGCAGCAGACGGGGGTTCACGAGTGGACTTTTCGCGAGGAGTGGAAAAACCGGTATTTAAAAAAGTAAGAAGTAAAGGCCAACTGATCTGCTTTAAAGTAGTAACGAATAAAAGCTCTTTCAAATATTACGTGTGGGCAACAGAACTTGACCGCTTCACAGCAATGTCCACAGAGGTTGAATTGTCATGTAATGCATCCAAACATATCGTTTACATTAAACATTTTATGTATAACATAAAAAATTTGACTACGTTTTTTGTTTTTTTTTTATAAATCTGACATTGAGGTTCTGATTTCACGAATTGTCGCCAATGCGAAAGCGTGCGGCGGCTACGAACTAATTCCGTCGAGGAAGTATCCGCGACGATCTGTCGACGCGCGCCGCAAAAAATGTAGCCGACGCCCCCCTCCCTGACGTCATCATCATAGATGCGCATCAATTTTTGCGCGCTTTGCTCCTGTCAAACATTTGAGCTACTTTGTTTGCATTATTTCTTTTTCTAGTTGGTCTTTCCGCATAAAATTTCTCAAGGACATTCTCATGTGGCGCGAGAATCCAGTTTTGTGAAAGTTTCTCATTTGAGTACTTACAGTGCACCGCTAACTATATAGGGTTGTAAATGTGATCTAAGATAGCAGGGATGCTGTGCGGGCAGTCCAACCGCTCTATTTCGCCCTACACATAATTACTGTGTTTTTTCTGGTAGCCTTTTCAATACTAGAGTATTTTTGATACAATAAAAGTTCCGTGTCACTTTTTTTTTTTTTTTTTGAGTATTTGTGCGAGCAAGTTAACAGTCAAGGCGTCGCAAAAATAATCAAATGTACAGCGACAAATAAAGCGAAGGTCGAGTCATATATTTTTGCTGGTGTTTCGCCCCATTTTGTGTATGTTATTGTTTTCACGAGAATTCCAGCCCTGACTCTCCGTCGTTACTCATCATAACGGAAGGTTATTTGCTCCTTTTTATCTAAACACGACTGCATAAAAAAGAATACAAAGAAAAAATCAAAGAACGAAACGGTACGCAATTGAGATTTATTACGCAGTAATTCGGTGGGCGCATAATCCTTTAATCTATATAGTTGACGGTCGAGCAGTGACACGAGTTGCCTTTACGTCCACAGTCGCGCGTTCAGTTTATCACAGTTCGTATAGAACTGGCTTTTAGTTGAATGAGCCTCAATGTAATACCGGCTAATAAATTGAAGAAAAAAAAATTAAATTGGGTCATTGTATGGAAAGCCTAGTCTGCTTTACAAACCGCCGGAATGGACTGGGAAGACTGTAAACGCCATAGAGTCTCGAACGCTACGTTACATTTAAGTAGGGTTCCGTGTTCTCGGATAAATCCGAAAAACACTCGCCGGTAAATTTTCCGTCAAATCGGCTTTATTTGAAGAATTTGGAATTTGGAGGTTCCAACGACATAATAAAACGAAAAAAAAAAAGAAGAAAAAATGTTTTACAAATAAACTTTATATAAGAGCACAGGTTCCGTGGTCCTGAGGAGTTGCCACTTCAGTTTCCCCTTGAAATATCAAACTACGGACAAGAAAGAGGGCTGCCTTCTAGCTCGCCAAGGTCTTGCTCTATCTCGTCAAGGCCTTAAACTCTTTTTTTTTTTTTTCTAGATTGAGATTTTAGTGAACAAGAAAAAAAAAAAATCAGAATTTTGGAGAATTTGGGTATCTAACAAAAAAATGAAGTCGGATGAAAACTCGAATTTTAAACTCCCCAAAGAACACCCTCTGAATTTCGCGGGAAATTCGGAAAGTGCTTTCCTGCGTGCGCAAAAAAAAAAAAAAAAAAAAAAAAAAAAAAACAGATTGCCGTGAGGTGAAGCGGATGGATGGATGGATGAATACGGCTGAGCCCTTTGGATCGGGCGGTAGCTTACGCCACCTAGCCATTTTGTTTTACCATTTAAGCTTAGAATATTTAAATGTGAAATCTATATTCACTCCGCAGTGCAAAGAAAGTGAGGCTATGAAACCCCCTTGCCATCAGTGATTAAGAAAATACCTAGTTTTCTCTCGATTTCTGCCACCATTCACTTAATCTTTGCTTGGTAATCTCTACAGTCTTGAAATCCACTCTCCCTTCGCTGTCTCTAAAACTCAATGACTTTATTAAATCTATGTTGTCTTCGGTAGGCATAGGGTGAAGCCCTTTACAGTAGAGTATCAAGTGCTCAGCCGTCTCGTCCTCCTCTCCACAAGCAGTGCACACTGTATCAATTTCCTGGTACTTCACTCTGTATGTTCTGGTTCGCAGAACACCCGTTCTTGCCTCAAACAGCAATGAGCTTCCCCTAGAATTGTCATAAATGCTTTCTTTGGCAATAACTCTTTTGTTTAATCTATAGCTTTCCAGAGCAGTCTTTGTCTGCATTCCCTCTAGCCACCGATCTCTTTCTGTGGCCTTAACTTTCTTCTTAACTGAGACTTGCTCTTCCGTATCTTCGCTATAGCCCAAAAACCTTCCTCTTAATTTCCTAGTGCGCTGTCTCCACTTTGTGTCTACACTCCTCATGTATAAATAGCTGAAAACCTTTCGTGCCCATTGCTCCCCATCCATTAGCCTCAACCTATCCTCAAATTCTACCTTGCTCACCGCTTCCCTGCTCTCAAATGATGCCCATCCCATGTCTCCTTGTACTCCCTGGTTTGGCGTTTTGCAATGCGCCCCCAAAGCCAGTCTACCTACTCCGCGCTGTTTTATTTCTAGTTTCGCATGCACTTCGGATTTCATGCATAGCACTGCGTTTCCAAAGCGCCTCGACGACCGCAGCGCCACCGCAGCGACGTGACGTCAGAGTGACGTCAGAGACGCGTGCATGCAAAATGTTGTTTAAAAAAGGAAACAAAAAAAAACAAAAAAAGGTCTTACAGTTAAATTGATGACTTTCACATCCACGAACGCCCGAGCACTGCCGGAATATATGTTGCTCTCAGTTTGGAGATTATTATTGTCATAGGCTAGAATTAAAATTTAAAACAGCGCGAGGACACGGACAAGAACAAGAAGGTAGACGAAGAAGGCGCCTTGTTCGTCTACCTTCTTCTTCTTGTCCGTGTCCTTGCGCTGCTTTAATTTTTGATAATCAAATACCAACCAGCCCAAAGTTTTACGATAGGCTAGAAGGCTAATTAAAGAAAAAAATAAGAAAGTTAAAAAGAAAAAAGACAAGCATAAGGGCAATGGAGCACGAAACTTATTCGCTGGATTGTATGTGACCGCGCCGTAATTGTACACACTTCGGGGGTTATTAAACAATTGAAAGGTAGTTTCCTTTCCTTATGACAGCCAATAGACCCTGACTACGGACTAGAGCAACGGTTTTTACCCGCGCTGCCCGTGGGAAAAATCACGAAGCGTGAAGACAGGTCTGCCATCCTCGCAACCCGAAGCACGCCTTCGTCCACGCACGTGTCTCTACTCGGCGGCGTGCACGCCAAGTGCCGTCTTCGAGACTCGCTTGGCCGACTGCGACGCGCCCAGTCGGAAAGCGCGGAGCGTCGAGCCCTGCACCTGTCGTCGCACAGCCGGGAAGATTATGCAGAGCGGTCTCGAAGACTCCGCAAGAGTAGGAATGCCGCGAACTTTTGTCTACTCCGAGGTTCGACTGGTTCGGCAGACCTTCGAATTTTCAGTAAAGTTCGACAGAGCTATACTTACGGACAGTGCTGCCCGACTTCTGCACAAACATTTCCGATGTTTACTCAATATAAAATCAGATATATTCACTTTTAATGTTTGAATTGGTATCTTATTGCAAGACAATCAAAGGAGCTACCTTTAGACCAGTGGTTCTCAAATGGGGGTCCGGGACCTTTTGATGTCCGCGAAGGCATTCTAGGGGTCCGCGAAGCCCAGCCTCATCGGTCAAGCCCGGCGATTAAAGGTATCTTTTCTCAGATTGAGAACAAACGTTCCAGTTTTTCGGGTGAGCTTTTTCGTGTATGTGTAAAAAAGGGAAGTATACATCACAAAGTCGTTAGTTATATTATTTTTTTTAATTGTTATCATAATTAACCTATACGTTTGCCTTCCCCTCACCACGAACGGGGTCCTCCATCATCTCTGCCGATCCACAAGGGGTCCGCGAAACATCCATGGTTGAGAACCACTGCTTCAGACCAGAGCCCCTGCTGTAGACCTTCCAGGGAGAGTACCATATTGCATTTCTACCCCGCCAGGTGGCTTCAGATTTTGAACTTTCGCTCATGCGCACAAAGTCGACCCTCAGTCGAACTTCTCTCGAACTTTGTGATCCGAAATTCGAGAAAGTTCGACCCTCGT